GTTCCTCCAGCTCCACACTGTTATCTCAGACTCCAGCAGCGGCAGTTCTTACTATCTCTAGTAATCCAGTGATATGGGTTCAAGCAGCTAGTGGGATTTAAGTTCAGTTTTGAAAAAAATTTGGAATTGAAAATTACTCTCTCTAATGGTGACCTTGAAACTGTAAGAACCCCAGGGATGGTAAATAAATTGTGACCCGGCCACTGATGCCCACTTCCCTTCAAAGAATGTGCAGAGATGGATAGTACATTGAGTATAGGAGTTGGGAGGTCATGTTGCAGTGTACAGGACATTAATTAGGCCACTTTTGGAATACTGCATTCAATTCTGGTCTCCCTGCTATAGGAAAGATGCTGTGAAACTTGAAAGAGTGCAGAAAAGATTTAAAAGGATGTTGCCAGGGTTGGAGCTATAGGGGAAGGATAATTAGGCTGGGGCTATTTTCCCTGAAGGTTGAGGGGTATAGAAGTTTATAAAATCATGAGGGGCATGGATAGGGTGAATAGCTAAGGTCTTTTCCCCAGGGTAGGGGAGTCCAAAACTAGAGGACATAGGTTTAAGGTGAGAGGGGAGAGATTTCAAAGAGACCTGCGGGGCAACCTTTTCACACAGAGGGTGGTGCGTGTATAAAAGGAGCTGTCAAAGGAAGTAGAGGATGCTGGTACAATTCCAACATTTAAAAGACATCTGGATGAGTGTATGAATAGGAAGGGTTTAGAGGAATATGGACCAAATGCTGGTAAATGGAACTAGATTAATTTAGGATATCTGGTTAGCGTGGGCAAATTGGACCAAAGGGTCTGTTTCCATGCTGTACATCTCTATGACTCTATAAGGGCAGATGAGAGTTGTGTATGTTTACCTTGTCTTTGTGATGTGGGATTTCAGTCATTAAACCTGTTGCAGACAGAGACCGACAGATTTTAGGTATAAAACGAAAGACCTGTAGATGCTGTACATCAGAAGCAAAAACAGAAATCGCTGGAAATACTCAGCAGGTCTCGCAGCATCTATGCAGAGAAATCAGAGTTAACGTTTTGGGTCGAGTGAACCTTCCTCCGATTTCATTGAGGTCACAGGATATGGCGATGGCATTGAAAAGGAAAGTAGCATGGAGGTGTTTGATTAGCTGCGAACTGGAATGGCAGAGCAAGCTCAAGGGACTGAATAGCCTACACTATCCAATACGTTTCCATCTTTCGGATGCCCAGATGGCAGCTTTGGGTGGAAGGTGTGTCGAAGCAAGTTTGGGAAATAGCAGGCGGCCTTCAGTTGCTGAACATGTAGCGGAAGGGGGAGGTTGAACATGGTGGAAAGCCTATAAACTGCAGATGTTGTGGTAAAAAGCACCCACCTTTTCATGTTTCTCTTTCACAAGAGCAATCAGACCTCAGAGATATGCCCATTGAAAAAATATCCATGAGGATTTGAAGGAGGCCTGAAAACTGTTTACACTCAGTTCACTCTCCATGGCAGTCATGGCTAGCTCAGTACCCACCACATCAAAATCTCTTGGTGTGACCCCACTGGGCTGGTCGTGAACCCCATTTCGGGAAACCTGAGGGTTGAAAGGAAATCGCATCAGTTGCATTAAAGGAAGGTTAAGAACTTTGTGGTTCAATTTGTATTTTACCCAGGCAGGAGACAAATCACTTTTATTTCTAAACTCGTTGACTTTTTAGGTCTCGTCAGAGAAATCTCCAAGAGGTTCACCTGTCAGTGTTACACAGGACTTGCCGGTCATTGACTGGAAGGATTTCACTTGCAAAAGGCTCTTTCAGGGAGGTAAGGGCTTCTGCAGCATTATGGAAGGGCGTGACTGGGAGCATCGAGGTGGCATCCACTTGAGGAGAACGCTTGGAAGTTGCATCAGAGCGTGCATTTTTTTTTCTGACCTTAATGTTTTGTTAAAGAGCTGGGTGGAGGGGATGCTGACCAGCAGTGAAATAGGCCACAGGTTCCACACCCAGTGTGGGTATTTGAATTCACAGTAGAAGTCATCTGAACTTAAGAACTAGGAGCAGGATAGAGCATTTGATACAATTGTGGCTGAACTTTAACCTCAATGTCATTTTTCTCCCACCCCCAACTCTTCATATACCATGATACTCTGGGATTCTAAAAAAATGTTGATCCCAATCTTGGGTGCACCAAATATCTGAATATTCAGTGTTTTCTGGGGTCAAGACTTCCAACCTTTAAACATCTGTGAGTGAAGACATTTCTTCTCATCTGGGTCCTGAGTGTTTTTTTATTCGTTCATGGAATAAGGGCATCGCTAGCTAGGCAGCATTTATTACCCAGCCCTAATTGCCTAGAGGGCAGTTAAGAATCAACGACATGTCTGTGGGCCTGGAGTCACATGTAGGCCAGACCAGGTAAGGCTGGCAGTATCGTTCCCTGAAGGACATTAGTGAACCAGATGGGTTTTTCTGACAATTGGCAATGGATTCATGGTTGTCATTAGCTTCTTAATTCCAGATATTTATTGAGTTCAAATTCCTCCATCTATTATGGTGGATTCAAACCCAGGTCTCCAGAACGTTATTTGGGTCTCTGGATTAACAGTCCAGCGATAATACCACCAGGCCATCGCCACCCCCTATAAATGGGGTCCTCCCCTTGTACTGAGACTATGCCTCCCCAAGAAGTAGGGGAATATTCTGCCAGCATTGACCCAACAAGCCCCCTTAAGAAATTGACCTGTTTCCTTAAGACCATCTCTCACTCCCTGATTATGTAGGAACCATATTCGACTCAATCTGCTTTTATGGGCCAATTGCCTTGACCCAGGGTGACCTATTGCCTCGCCTTGTGACCTATTTTGTCCCTGTTAAGGCAACTATATCCTTCCTTAGAGATAGTAAGAACTACTGATGCTGGAGTCAGAGATAACACTGTGTGGAGCTGGAGGAGTACAGCAGGCCAGGCAGCATCAGAGGAGCAGGAAAGTTGATTTTTCGGGTCGGTACCCTTCTTAGACCCTTCTTTCTGAAGAAGGGTCCCGACCCGAAACGTCAACTTTCCTGCTCCTCTGATGCTGCCTGGCCTGCTGTACTCCTCCAGCTCTATATCCTACCTTAGGATTTCTTTCTCTTCATGGGGTGTTGTGAGACGATCAATTGATGGAGCAGAAAGAAGATCTCATCTGGTTCACTGATTTCCTTCAGGGAAGGAAAATTTGCCATCCTTATTTGGTTTGGCTCACACTCCAGACCCATACTGAAGCGGTTGAACCTTAACTGTTGCAGGAATGGCTGCACAAGCCGCTTGGTTCAAAGGCATATATGCCATCAAGGAGAGAACTAGCCAATTAGATACAACATTGGCCTGAAGGTAGGAGACAGAGGGTGGTGGTGGAGGGTTGCTTTTCAGACTAAAGACCAGTGACCAGCTGGGTCCACTGCTTTTTTTCATTTATATAAATGATTTGGATGCGAATATAGGAGGCATGGTTAGTAAGTTTTCAGGTGACACCAAAATAAGTGGTGTAGTGGACAGTGAAGAAGATTATCTCAGAGTACAATGGGATCTTGATCAGTTGAACCATGGGCCAAGGAGTGGCAGATGGAGTTTGATTTAGATAAATGTGAGATGTTGCGTTTTGGTAACACAAACCAGGGCAGGACTTATACAATTGGAAGGATCCTGGGCAGTGTTGCCGAACACAGACCCCCGGGGTGCAGCTGCATGGTTCCTTGCAAGTGGAGTCGCAGGTAGACAGGGTAGTGAAGAAGGTACTGGGCATGCTTACCCTCGTTGGTCAGCGCATTGAGTATAGGAGTTGGGACGTCATGTGAAGGTTGTACAAGACAATTGGTGAGGCCACATTTGGAATAGTACGTACAGTTCAATAAGAAGGATCTTGTTAAACTTGAGAGGGTGCCGAAAGGAATTACAAGGATCTTGCTGGGATTAGAAGCTTTGAGTTATTAGCAGACGCTGAATAGAGTGGGGTTTTCTTTTCCCTTGAGCATCGGAGACTGACCTTATAGAAGTTTATAAAATCATGAGGGGTGTGGATAGGGTGAATAGTTAAGGTCTTTTCCCCAGGGTAGGGAAGTCCAAAACTAAGGGCATAGGTTTAAGATGGGAGGGGAGGGATGGAGATTTGAAAAAGACCCCAGGGACAACATTTTCATGCAGAGGGTGGTGCATGTATGGAATGAGTTGCCAGAGGAGGTGGAGGAGGCTGGTACAGTGACAGCATTTAAAAGACACCTGGATGGATACATGAATAGGAAGGGTTTAGATGGATATGACTCAAATGCTGGAAAATCGGACTGGATTAATTTAGGATATTTGGTAGGTATGGACGAGTTGAACTGAAGGCCCTGTTTCCATGCTGTACAGCTCCATGACTCTAAAAATGCAAACCTTTCTATAGCAGCCGTGGCCTCTGGATTCGTCACATACCCAATATATACATTTAACACCGTAACCGTTGCCACTAGTGAGTTAACTTGATTAGATTCTTTTGGGGAAAAACATAAACAAAACTTTGACAGAGACATTTAAAAAGGTCAAGAGAAATGATAGGGTCGATAAAGAGAACCACTTCCTTTGTTCAGGGAGACCAGAACATGGAGCATAATCTTAAAATTCAATCCAGACTATTTGGGGGGTCAGGAAGCATTCTTCAGCCATAGGGGAGTGGAAAATGTAGAAACCCTCATGCCAAACTCCAAAAACACTGTTGGGTTTGGGAATCAATTGATCATTTCTTGATTGAGATTGCTTTCTTCATAGAATCCCTGCAGTTTGGAAGCATGCCATTGGGCCCATCGAGTCCAAACCAACCCTCTGAAGGGCATCCCACCCAGATTCACTCCCAACCCTATTCCAGCAATCAAACATTTCCCATGGCTATTCCACCTAGCCTGCACCCCAGTGCCTAATTGACCGAGCTTCCAGTTGCCTGCCGGTTCAACATACCACAGTGTTGCCTGGCCAATTTCCATCTCGGGGGCTTGCTTTACTGTTTTACGTCATTTGTATAAACGATTTGGATGTGAATGTAGGAGGTATGGTTAGCAAGTTTCACAATGGGCAATTTAGCACAGCCAATCCACCTAACCTGCACATCTTTGGACTGTGGGAGGAAACTCAAGCACCTGGAGGAAATCCACACAGACATTGGGAGAATGTGCCAACTTCACGCAGTCACCCGAGGCTAGAATCAAACCCAGGTCCTTTGCACTGTGAGGCAGAAACGCTAACCACTGAGCTACCATGTGTTATGTAAAGTTAATGGAACAAAGGTGGGTAACCTGAGATAAGGTAGCCATGATTAATTGAATGACAAGATGGGCTCAAAGGGCTGTGTAGCCCGCTGCTGTTTTTCTAATCTCTCCTTCACTTCACTCAAGTTGATCTGTTCTCTCTCTCCGAAGAAGGGAATGACAGTGGAAACTCCAAGCCAAAGGAGCTTGAACAACCCTCCAAGGTTCAGCCTGGTGAAACCCCGATTACAGAATCTGAGGAGATGAAGGTAATGTTTGTAAAGCAGTCTTCATCATTGCTGATGTACAACGAATAAGACTGCAAAATTAACTTTTCCTCATTATGCATGTTTTCTTTAACTATTTGGACTGGTTTAGTTGCAAGGCTTCTCAGAGCAAATATATTTTCAAAGAAAATTAAAGGAGACCATTCAGCCCCCTAAATCCAAGAGATGAAATAGGCTTGGTGTTGTGTTCCTTGGAACAGAGAAGGCTGAAGGGCGTGCCTTTTTGAGATGTACAGAATTGAGGGGCAATGATAGGGCAGATAGGAATAAACTTTGCCCCCAGGTACTGACCCTTCCACTAATGGGAATAGATTTGACTTCAGGGGCATTCCAGATCCTAACGATTCCCCTGCTTGAAATGGGCCTCCCTCATGTCACCATTGCTTCTTTCGCCATTCATCTTAAATCTGTGCCTCTGGTTCCCAATCCATCCACCACTGCGAGCAACACCTCAATCAAATCTCCACTCAGCCTTCTCCAAGGAAAACAGTCCAGAGTCCTCTACTCTAACTACATCATTGAAATTCCTCTGGAAATTTTCTTGTTCATCTTTTTGCCGACCTCACTCATGCTTTCACATCCTTTCTAAAGTTTGGTATGCAGACTTGGACACTGAGAGTCCTCTAGTTGAGATCAAACCAGTGCTTTCTGAAGATTCACCATAGCTCGGTCCCCAAGTACCCTAAATGACTGCTTTCTCAGCCTGCTCTGTCACTGACAGTGATTAATGCACATAATTCCCAGATTTCTGTGCACTGGCACACCCTTGAAGGCACATACTATTTAATGTAATGGGGTGTTCTATCACAGTCTACTATCCATATTTACCAGGTGTTTATTTTGCTTGTTAGAATGTGCGTTGTGCATATAGACTGTATTACTGTTATAGTCATACAGCATGGATACAGACTCTTCAGTCCCACCAGTCTTTGCCAAACTAGTCTAAACTAAACTAGTCCCACCTGCCTGCTCCTGGCCCATATCCCTCCAAACCTTTCCTATTCATATATCCATCCAAATGTCTTTTAAAAGTTGCAATTATACCCACATTCACCACTTCATCAGGAAGTTCATCCACACCCGAACCATCTTCTGTATAAAAGATTGTCGTTTTTAAATCTCTCTCCTCTTGCGTTAAAAAGTCCCCCCTAGTCTTAAAATCCCCCTTCTAGGGGAAAAGACAACTACCATTAACCCTATCTATACCCTAATTATTTCATAAACTTCTATAAGGTTTCCTCTCAACCTCCTACGTTCCAGTGAAAAATGTCCCAGCCTATCCAGCCTTTCTTTATAACCCACACCTTCCATACCTGGTAAATCTCATCTGAAGCCTCTCCAGCTTAATAATATCCTTTCTACAACAGGGCGTCTAGAACTGGACACAGTACTCCAGAAGAGGCCTCACCAATGTCCTGTACAACCTCAACATGACGTCCCAACTCCTATACTCGAAACAAGAACAAAAACGGAAGTTGCTAGAAAAGCTCAGCAGTTCTGGCAGCATCTGTGAAGAAAAAATCAGTTAACGTTTCAGGTCCAAGTTCTGAGGAGGGGTCACCAGACCCGAAACTTTAACTCTGATTTTTTTCTTCACAGATGCTGCCAGACCTGCTGAGCTTTTCCAGCAACTTCTGTTTTTGTTCCTCATTTACAGCATCAGCAGTTCATTTGGTTTTTATTTAGTCCTGTACTCAAAAGTCTGAGCAATGAAAGCAAGTGTGCTAAACGCCTTCTTAGCGATCCCTTCTTTATGTGATGTAAAGTTCAAAGAATTGTGTTTGAATGTAAAGTTTATTGTTGTATATTCAAAACAGTGGAATTTTAAAGCTTTTTTTTAGACACTGGATTCCACACTTTGTCTGGTTACTGGTCTCTAGCCAAATCTCAACTTCAATTCTTTGATGAAGTGGCCACTTCAGAGAGCAGTTAAGAATCAACCACATTGCTCTGGCCTCTTGACTTTCCACAACAGGATGAACAGTGGGGTTCTATTAAAATACATCTATTGGAACACGAAGTGATAGTTTGTATTGTTTTTATTTGTGTTAATTGAAGGAAACACTGATTCTTTTTAATTGGCTACTTAAGGTCGCAGAGAAGAGAACTCTGAGGAAGTCCCAACCGGACAGGAGATCACCGAAAACGCCACAGACAAGAGACAGATTTGGTCGCTGGCTGCCGAAGGTTTCCTCTGGCAAAGGGTCACCTAGGAAAGGTGGGAGCTCTGCAGGGATTGTGTCTCATAACTTGGAGAGTCTGGCCAACAGACGTGGCATGGAGTTGGATTCCCCTGAGTGATTTGTATTTGGGAAACCTTGATCCATTTCCTCATTTACCCTCCGCATATCTGAAATACCCACAGTGGTCACAAGGGGGCAGGCAGTACAAGGGAAGAATATAGTGCTGACAGAGAGGCCATTCCGTCCATCACGCTGGGCCAGCTCTTTGAAAGAAACCAGAATCAAACCTTGTTGAATTCCAGAACAGTCCCAAAGAGCCAAATGGCCTGATCCTGGTCCCAAGTCCCGTCTTCCAGCATATCCAATTTATTCCGCATCTCCTTTCCCCCGCCAGTGCCTCCCCGTCAATCAATTATCCAGTTCCCTTTTACAAAGGGGAAGGATCTCAGTGGTCCAGTAAAGAGCAGTCTTTACAATGTTGTAATATCAGCTTTAAAAAAGAAATTGTCTATGGGATGTGGGCATTGTTAGCTTGGGTGGCATTTGTTGCCTATCAATAATTGTTGTGGCCCAGATGGTGGTGAGCTTCTTTCTTGGAGTCTGTGAGATGTAGCGACATCTACAGTGCTGTTAGGAAGGGAGTTGCAGGATTTTGACCCAGCAATGTAACTCTGCATCATAAACCCATTCTTGGGAATGATGATGATTGCTTGTGATATATAAACTGCAGGACCATGTATTTGCTCTGTTGCTAACAGATCTTAATGAATATAAAATTTGTGCAAATTCCCTTTCCTACCCTTAGGGTGGCTCAGTGGCTGGCACTGCTGCCTCATAGTGCCAGGGACTCAGGTTCGAATCCACCCTCAGGCAACTGTAGGTGTGTGCAGTTTGCACGTTCTACCTGTGTCTGCGTGGTTTCCTCTAAGTTCTCCCAGTTTCTTCCCACAGTCCAAAGATGCTAAATTGCCCATAGTGTCCAGGGATGTGCAGGGTAAGTGGCATAGCCGTGGGAAATGTAGGGTTTCAAGGATGGGGTGGGTCTGGGTGGGATGCACTTTGGAGAGGTGGTGTGAACCAAATGGCCTGCTTCCACCCTGTAGGGATTCTATGATTCTGGTGGCTCCATCATTGTTTTTGTACCACTTGAAGTAATAGTCTGGTTTTATTATTCTAATGCAGTTTACTGTCGTGCGTGTACTTGGTTAAAGATTGCCCAATTTTTAAATTTACTGATTTCTGTTTAATACCCTGAAGATCAGAGGGATAGAAATCCCAAAGGCAAGCAGGACAGCAATGTGAAGTGCAAAGCAAATAAAAAAAGCTCATCAGTAAAGCAGACCGAAGAACCAGACACAGAACTAAAAAGGATGAAGGTAATAATTTCACAGTAGCTTTTGCCCTCGTGTGTGATATGCTTCTTTTTGTTTTGGTTGTATGAAGAGGGAAGGGACTAGAAATTGTATCTTGCTCTCATGTCATGTGTGTACACAGTACTCAGAACAGGGCAGGTTAAGAGGAGTTTGCTATTCTGAAATCAAAGGCAAATGCTTTAATTGCTGCCACAACCAGCTTCAGTGGTGCACTTAAGGCACGTTCCTAGATATACATGGTAGTGCCAGAAATTTTAGTTCATGGATCCTTCATTGTTTGAAGGAAAACATTTTTATCTGTGATGGCATCTCTCAGCTCCACTTGATCTCTCAGACCAACTGACCACACAGCTAAGGTCACGTCCCTTCCAGACATGGGACACTGGGATGCACAGCCACATCTGGGTTTCGCACGTTCATAGAGTTGAATTCGAACAGACCAAAATGACATAAATGCACATTGATAACAGCAGCGAACAAAGAAAACATTCCTGGCATCCTGTTTGCTGTCACAATAGGCTTAATGGGGCCTACAGCATTGTCTAGCTTCTGTTGTAGATGGTACACACTTGTAGCTACTGTTGGTAGAGGGGCTGCATGCTGGAAGTGGTGGATTGGCATGGTGAAGTGCCAATCAAATGAATTACTTTATCCTGGATTGTATTGAACTTCTTGAGTCTTGTTGGAGCCGCACCCATCCAGGCAGCTGGGCAGCATTCCATCACAAACCTGACTTGGGCCTTGTTGGTGTTGCGCAGACCTCCCAGAATGCTCAGTCTCTGACTTGCTTTTGTAGCCCCAGTATTTGTATGTTTGATCTAGTTCAGCCACAGATCAGTAGTAGGCCCCAAGGTGTTGATAGTAAGGGGAATTCAGTGATGTTAATGCTATTGAATATCAAGGGGTGATGGTTCTCTTTGTTGGAGATGTTCATTGCCTGGCATTTGTGTAGTATAAATGCTACTTGCCACTTATCAGGCTAAGCCTGAATGTTGATCAATCTTGGTCTTGGGCTCCTCCAGTACTTGAGTAATTTCAAATGGTGCTAGATGTAATGCAATCATTAGGGGACATTTCTGACCCTATGATGGAGAGAAAGCCATTGATGAAGTCCTTCAATTGTTGCTAAGGCTATCCGGTCTTTCTTTCCAGTGTAGATAATTTACTATCTCTATCTCTTTAACTGTACTTAGCAGGCCCTTTGATTCCTGAACTTCTGCATTTGATATAACCCCTGCTTGTTTGTCTTCCTCAGGAACAACAAAACTGCGTTCAAAGGAGATCATTGCGTCTTGCCAATCTGCATTCCAGTAAAGAGAAGGCGTGCTTGCTTGACCACATTGAACATCGTCATCTTGAATGCAATAACATTAATACAGGTAAAGGAATCTGACAGAAATGAGTGTTCTGTGGATCAGTAGCAGAGCCATAGGATTCAAATAACAATTCTTCACCTGCTTTCCTGTTTATACTATCACGCACCCAAATACCTCCCTCTGCAAAAGCTCTTATCTATGGCTTTGTTATGTTGAGACTCAGCTACGCCCCTGCTGTGGTATGCAACCTTGTACCTTCTTAAGCTCCACTAAAACTTTGCTTCCTGTATCTTAACCACCAACTACCTGCAAGTTCTCCTCCAGTCGCACAGCATCCTGACTTGAACAAGATTCCCATTAGTCCACTGTGACTGCACTGAAATTCTGGAACATCCCCTAAAACAGTGTCAGTGAAATTGCAGACATGGATCGCAATGGCTCAGGTTTATGGTTCACTGTCCTTGTCAGTGAACCTCTCCCACCTCCATGTCGCATGAAAGAATAGATTAAAACTAGAGTCCCATTCACCAGTCACCCCTGTGCTCGCTACCTACACAACAACATCTGTTATGATCCTGGCTGATGTTAATACTTGACAAATCAGACCCCACAGTCAACCCTAGTATAGCAGACCATGGGTTTAATTTTTCGTATTTGGTTACCATGGTGTTTAGTCCCTATAGGAGTAGGCAATGACCTAGTGTTATTATCACTAGACTATTAATCCAGAAGCCCAGCTAATGTTCTGGGGACTAGGGTTCGAATCCCACCACGGCAGATGGTGGAATTTGAAATCAATAATAGTTTTAAAAAAGTCTGGAATTCAGAATCTACTGATCACTGTAAAATCATTGCCAATTGTCGGAAAAACATTTTGTTCACTAACGTCCTTCAGGGAAGGAAATTTGCCACTCTCACCTGATCTGGCCTACATGTGACTCCAGACCCACAGCAATATGGTTGACTCTCAAGTGCCCTCTGAAGTGGCCTAGCAAGCCACTCAGTTGTACAAATCGCTACAAAGTGCCAAAGAAATGAAACTGGATGGATCACCTGGCATCAACCTACGCACCAGAAAAGTCAATGGCAGAAACAGCCCTATCAACCGTGCAAAGTCCTCTGCACTTACATCTGGGAGTTAGTGCCAAAATTGGGAGAGGTGTCTCACAGGCTATTTAAGCTCAGCCTGACATAGTCATACTCACAGAATCATACCTTACAGACAATATCCCAGATGCAAAATTGAAACCAAAATCCATCCACCTCAATTTAAAAAAGCCACGTTCCCAAATGATACGTTATGTACCTTGATTAGACACCTCTGTTTAAATGTTCTTAGCCACTCCACTGCACCCATCCACCCTCATGTCTCTAAACTCCTCCAGATCCTATAATCCTTACTGTCTCTGTCTCCTATTCCTGCCAGTTCAGCCCTACATAGAACATAGAACAGTACAGGCCCTTCGGCCCACCGTGTTGTGCTGACCTATTATCCTACTAAGATCAAACTATCCTGCATACCCTACGTTATACTATCATCCATGTTCCCATTCAAGAGTCGCTTAAAAGTCTCTAAAGTATCTCATTCCACACGCCCACCACTCTCTGTGTAAAGAAACTACCTCTGACATCTCCCCTATACCTTCCTCCAATCATCTTAAAATTATGCCCCCTCTTAATAGCCATTTCTGCCCTGGGAATGAATTCAACCCTCTTGAATTCTCTTCTGTCATCCAATTCTATCTTAGAATAATCTCCCAATTTCTGACCCAGTCAAACCTTTTAGGTGCCTGGGCCCCAACCTCTGGAATTCCCTTCCTATAACTCTGTACTTCTCTCTTTACCTTTTATAGTTCTGTTTAAATTCTACCTCTTTGACCAAGCTTTTGGTGGCTTGGTGTCAAAGCTTTGCTGAGCTTTTTGGTGCATTTTACTGCTTTATAAGCAGTTTCTTTGTCAAGCAAATTGATAGTTGCCCATTCTCCATCAGTTATTCTCCCCCACCATCCTGTCTTTTCTCCCTTCTTCCATTGTTGTTATCAATGTGTTAAGAAAGAAGGCATTAGCAAAACTTGCAGTCCAGACGCATTCGCTTCTGAGCGACGGCATAAGTAGAGCTCTGAATGAGTTCGTTCTTTGTTTTTTGGTTGCAAGTAGATTTGAGCATTTTGCTAACATTAATGACGTTAAATTCACATTATTGATTGTGAAGAGATTCTGGGTTCAACTCAGCGGCAGAATATTGCATTAAGTAATATGTCCAAATCCTGCTATTGTTTAAAAAAAACACATCTTTTCATTGACGCGCTCTTTCAGTATCGGGCTTGAATTTGTGGATTGCTCTTAACAAAAGAATGACAACTTTCATTTATACAGTATCTTCAAACCAATCCAAGATGCTTTACAGAAGTGATTACCATTTGAAGTTTGACATTGAGCAGAGTAGGCAATATTAGAGGCAAAACTTGGTCAAAGAGGTAGCTTTTACATGTTGCTGAAGTTTTTAGTTTTGCACACATCAGGACAAATGCAAGAATGCCAAATTTCAAATGGCCATTTGATAGTTTTTGATTTTCCTGATGAGTGCATTGGATGTAAACATGAGTGTAAACCTCTGGCAATGTGCATCTCCTTCCAGAGGTATCTTTAGCAGTCCTTTATGGAGGGAAACTGCCATCCTAACTCCAGACCCACAACAATGTGGTTGACTCTTTACTGCCCTCTGGGCAATTAGGGATGGGCAATAAATGCTGCCTGGCCCGCGACACTCTCACACCGTGAAAGAATAAAGAAAAAGTATCGAAGTTCTGTGCCACCAAGTCACTGTGGGTAGATTTTAAGCCTCTCAGAAGGCAGAGGGGTCTAAATTCTAGAACTTAGGGCCCTGGTAAATAAAAAGATACCGGCTGATAGTGGGATGATTTCATTTCAGGAATGCCAAAATTAGCGCAGTGCTCAGATTGTGAGGCTGGAGGAGGAGACAGAGATTGGTGGGGAGGCACTGGAAGAGTTTAGGCGAAAAAGTTGAAATATTAAAATTGGAGTGACTGAATGGCGTAGGTCAGCAAGCACAGGTTGACAGATGAGTGAGACTTAAAGTAGTTCAAGATATGGGAGCTGCCTAATGGATTATTTCTTTAATTAATTCACGGACATGGGCATCGCTGGCAGGGTCACCATTTATTTCCCATGCCTGGTTGCCTTTGAAAAGGTGACGATGAGTTTCCTTCTTGAACCGCTTCAGTCTGTGTGGTGTAGGGCACCCACAGTCCCAGAATTTTAACTCCGCGACAATACATTTCCGAGTCAGGGCGGTGAGTGGCTGGAGGGGAACTTGCAGGCCTGGTGATGTTCCCATGCATCTGCTGCCCTTGTCCTCCTGGATAGTAGTGGCTGCCAGGATATCTAACACAGAGCCAGAATATCTTTGACACAGAAGTCAGAATAACTGCGGATGCTGCAAATCTGAAACAAGAACAGAAATTTCTGGAGAAACTCAGCAGGACTGGTAGCATCCGTGGAGAGAGAACAGAGTTAGCATTTTGAGTCTAGTGCCCCTTCGCAAGGAGGTCAGAATATCTAGCTGCATTGTTGAGGCACTGTTAGGACATGAAAGGTCCTTAGGCTGGCTACAGCATGACAGTTTTTGTGAAATTTAAATGCTTTCCAGATCAGTTAAAATGAAACTTTTTGTTTTGATATGGCTTTCTTTGTCTGATGGAGACCTTGTTTTATCTTGAAAGAGGAAAGCATGGACACGGGTTGCGAGCCAGATGTAGCTGACTCAAGTGAGATGCAGCAGGTGCCAGACCATCGTAGCAGTGTTGAAGAGGGCATTGAAACCAGGAAGGTTATACAAGCAATTGTGAAAGAGGTCAATGAAGAGGTAATATGATGCAACTACTGCTGTGGACATTGATTACTCTGCATTGCTAAGAATGTTTGTTTCATGTTATCATCATGTGCCTCCTCTAAAAAGCATCTGAGTGGCCATCCTCTTGATAGATCTACAGTGTGAATTGAATTTAATTCCCTGTCTTCCCATTAAAAAACATACTGTTTTATACCCCGGTGCAGCACCCTTGAGGGTTTACTGCACAAAGATTCTATCTCAAGATGCATCCTATTGATATCAGACCCAGTAATCAGCTCACTGCACCATTCTGACAATTTGTAGGTGATCTACAATGGGGCAGACAGTGATGTAGTGGTAATTGACTAGGCTAGTAAACCAGAGGCCCAGGCTAATGTCCTAATCCCACCATAGCAGATGGTAGAATGCAAATTCACTTAAGTCTAGAGTATAACACTTGTCTTGTAATGGTGACCGTGAGAATTATCATCATGAAATCTGGTTCACTAATACACTTGACGGAAAAAAAAATCTGCTGTCTTTGCCTGGTCTGGCCTACACGTGACTGCAGATCCACAGCAATGTGCCTGTCTCTTAACTGCCCTTGAAATGAACTTAGCACGACACTCAATTTGAGGGCAATTTGGGATGAACTACAGTTGCTGTCATAGAGTCATAGAGACATACAAATGAAAACAGACCCTTCAGTCCAACCAGTCCATGCTAACCATAATCCCAAACTAAACTAGTCCCACCTGCCTGCTCCTGGCCCATATCCTCCAAACATTTCCTATTCATGAACCTATCCAAAAGTCTTTTAAACGTTGTAACTGTACCCACATAACCACTTCATCTGGAAGTTCATTCCACACACGAACCACCCTAATGTGTTAAAAACAAAATTGTCTCTCATGTCTCTGTCCTCTCACCTTGAAAAGGTACCCCCTAGTCTTGAAATCCCCCATCCTGCAGAAAAGACACCTACCATTGACTCTTTCTATACCTCTCATTATTTAATAGACTTCTATAAGGTCACCTCTCATCTCCTATGCTCCCGTGAAAAAGTCCCAGCCTTCTTATCTAAAACCTTCCATACCCATCAGCATCCTGGTAAATCTTTCCTGAACCTTCTCCAGCTTAATAATATCCTACCTGTAGCTGGCCTTGCCAGCAACACCTACATCCCATAAAAGAATTTTTAACACTATTATGTTATGTCTAATACACCAGTGTAGGCTCATTTTGATCTACCTATATTCATTCATGCATTATGTTTCCTACAGAGTGAAATTTTGGAGCGACCGCCTTGCGACACTAGCTCCTTGTCTGAGCCAGGGTGTTTGTCAGTAAAGGATACATGTGGAAGTTCTGCACAAAGTAACAGTGACTCAGGTAAGAATTATCACTAATAATGTGTCATGATGAACAAAAAAATGTTGTCTTTCCTTGATAAATGCGAGAATATTGCAATGACTGGTTGTGGGTGAAGAGGAGATTCACATGAATCTCAATGAAATATGAGGACAGGTTACCTTAACCAAGTTGCCGGGAGAGACTGAAATAAGGAGTCTTAAGTACAGTAGGAAATTCGAGAGAAACTTCTTTAAATAGAGTCTACACTGGTACCCATTCTCTGTATGCAGGGGGGCTATGTTCAACCTTTCTCATAAGCCTGGGAAGCCTATAGTTGCCCTCTTGCTTTCTCCAAGGTGTAATGCCTTAACCAAACTGTCAACTTGCCAATCCAGCAGCATCTTTTTCTCCTAAGGTATAAATTGTTGTGATCATTTGAAATTTGGCATTCTTGCATTTGTCCTGATGATGAAAAGCTTCAGCAATGTGTTATTCTCTTCAGCGAGACCTCTTTCTCTTGGGAGTGATGAGATTGTGGAACACTCTGCCACAAGGAGGGGTTGAGGCAGATAGTGTAGATATGCTTACAGCCAAGCTGGATAAGCATACGAGGGAGAACGGAACAGGAGGATGTGCTGGAAGGGTGGGAGGAGGCTTGTATGGAAAATAAACACTAGCCTTATCAACATTTTGCATGGAATTCACCGACTAAATTAGTGTAATCAGGGATCCAGCACTTTGCTTTTGTATTAATCAGGGAAAGAGCTTTCAACAGGATCTGGACTCTCTGGCTTGAGATTTATTGGCATAAAAGTTATAACAAGTGAGCAGGCCCATTGTCAGTATTTATGCTCCACAGGGGTCTCCTCCCACACATCCTGATCAAACCCTATCTGCATATTCAAAGTTGCTTTAATGGTGACTGTGTAACCACGATCAGTGGTCATAAAAATGTCCTCTGGCCTATCTGTGACTTCAGGCTCACAGCAATGTCGTTGAGAGTCAACTGCCTTAGAAATGGGCTGTAAATGCTGATGTTGCCAGCGAACACCTGCATTCCATGGACGTATGAAAATAATCTTTCTCCCTCGTGCTTATCAAATGAGCCAATTAATGCACTGGTGCACTTGGCCTCAGTGATTCCCTGTGGCAGCACATTTCATAGCCCAGCTATTCTCGGGGCAAATAAGTTTCTTCTGAACTTCGTTCTGTTTGTGACCCTTTGTTTTGAACAAGCATGGTACCTCCCTGCACATCACAGACACGTATAGACACTGACACTGACACTGACACTGACACTCACACACAGACACCAACCTCGCTGTGTACATCACACACCGCCACCCCCAATGCACCCACCTACCCAAAGCAGTTCTGGCTAATGAGCAGCAGTGACTCCGCTGTGGCCAGGTTTACTGACTGCTTTGTACTGATGGACCACAGTGCAGGTGCACAGATTATCCCCAGGCCCATGGCTGGCTCTGGCTCTGGTGTGGTGGTCGCACAGACTTTAGCATCGTGAATGGACGAGCCTGGAGCTAGGCCCGTGGCTCCGGTTCATACATGGCGGTCGTGGGATCACCGGTGGAGATGGAACTCGTAATCAAGACCCGAAGCTCATTCCAGAGATCCCAGAGCCTGTACCACGAAGAAGGGGAGCGCACCTTGAAGGAAACATAACAATGAGCTCTATTGCATTACTACCTTGCATTATATCCTGTTTGAAGATGTCACCCAGCGTGGCGACATTAAATGTCACTTTGCATTGGTGTGCACATGATAATATCTAATCTCATCTAATATTTTCATCCTTTTTAGTACAGAAACAGGACATTGGGATTATAACACCTAAACCAGGCTTGGTCGATAAAGAAGTGCAGACAGTGACTCCGAAACCTTTTGTACTGGCTGTAGAAGAATTAAAGACTGAAGACCTAAAAATGCAAGCAAAGATGGTAATGTTACCACTATCGTCAAACCTTATATAAAAAAAAATAACAAGCTGATTACTTAACCAAAGGAAAGGGTTGGATACAATTTATTATTTTTGAACTTGTAGGTAGGCTGTCATGTAGCAAGTGCTATTTCCTGCACTAAGTGGCACAAATGACCATCTCCATCAAGGGAGATATTATCTATATCCTGGGGGTTAAACTTGACTAGAAACTGAATGGACCAGCCATATAAATGCTGTGGCTACAAGAGCAGGTGAGAGACTGCAGCAAATGACCTACTTCCTGTCTCCTCAGATCCTGTCCACCACCTACGAGGCACAAGTCAGGAGTGTGATGGAACACTTTCCACCCGCCTGGATGGGTGCAGCTCCAACAGCACCCATGAAGCTTGGCACCATCCAGGAAAAAGCAAACCATGTGACCAGTCCCCTATCCATCGCCTTCAGCTTTCATCCTCTACGCTACTCTTGATGCATAATAGCAGCAGTGTGTACCATCTTCAAAATGCACTGCAGCAACTCAGCAAGGCACCTCTGACGGCACCTTCCAAATCTGCGACCCCTCCCCCCTGTTGTCTAGATGGACAGGGGCAGCAGATATGTGGGAACACCACCCCATACATGTGGAATCGAACCCAGATCCCTGGCACTGTGAGGCAGCAGTACTAAGCCCTGGGCCACTGTGCCACCCTGTGGTCAAGATCAAAACAGTCAGTGGAAGAAGCTGCCTCTGTCAAGATTGGTGATCTAGGTGATTCATACTCCCCACGGACCCTTTTTTTTTTTCCCTCCTTCCTCCCCCATTACTGCAAGCTGACACCTTCCTATTGGGAATGACACTTATTACAGACTGCGCTATATTCTAAAATAATTACTAACACATCTGTACATCTGTGTTCCTCTCTAGTTTGTGGAAGAGCCCTCCCCAGAGGAATTGCAGTGTGATGTTGTTAAAGAAAGCCCACCGTTTAAACAAGCCCACCGGAATCTCGGGAACGGAATGGAATTCGGTAAAGAATGTGGTTTATGTCAATGCTTTCCGAACAGGACCAAAGCTGCCTTCTGTTCTAGAAATTAACTCGTAACTAATACCTGTTCAAAAACTAGTGCACAACTTGCACTTTTCCGCATTCCCTTTGCACCAGCACCTCCAGCTCTCTTCAGCCTCCTGATGTGCTGTCCTTTCTCTGGAAAGTGCTGTGGATGGGGGATCTGCCTACCTGCCTCTGGCCTTATTGCTTTTCCTAAGCTTTTTAACATATCCTTCTATTCCCTTCCCCCTCATTCACAAATCCAGCTTTCCGTCAAAAATATCTGTTTGTCTTAACCAAGAGGAGGCAGTATTATAGTGGTAGTGTCACTGGGGTAGTAAGCCAGAGGTTTAGTCCTAATCCTGTAGGAACACAGGTTTGAATCCCACTAGGGCAACTCCTTGAAACTCAATTAATAAAACTTGAATCCATCAATAAATGAATCAATAAGTTGTTGTAAAACTCTATCTGGTTCATTAGAGAAGGAAACCTGACCCCAGTCTGGCCTGCGTGTGACTGTAGATTCACAGCAATGTGGGCAACTCCTAACTGTCCTTTGAAATAGCCAATCAAGCCATTCAGTTCAGGGGCAATTAGCAATGGGCAGCATTTGGCCCGTATCCCTCTAAACCCTTCCTATTCATGTACCCATCCAGATGCCTTTTAAATGTTGTACCTGCCTCCACCACCGCCTGTGGCAGCTCATTCCATACACACGCCACCCTCTGCATGAAAAAGCTGCCCCTTAGGTCCCTATTAAATCTTTCCCATCTCACTTTAAACCTATGCCCTCTAGTTTTGGACTCCCCTACCCTGGGGAAAAAAGACCTTGGCTGTTCACCTTATCCATGCCCCCCATGATTTTATAAACCTCTATAAGGTCATCCATCAGCCTCAAAATTTGCAAGAAAAATAGTCCCAGCCTTTCTAGCCTCTCCCTATAACTCAAACCCTCCAACATCCTTGTAAATCTTTTCTGAAACCCTTTCAAGTTTGACCTCAGTCAGTAGAATCCTGGGGACCACATTTAGGAAGGATGTTTGCACATTGGGGAGAATGCAGACGGAGTGTTGAAAATGAGACTTTCCCTTGGAGAGGAGAATGTGACAAAAGGAGCTGATTTCAAAGTTGCGAGGGGTCAGGTCAGAGTAGAGAGGGGAAAATCTGTTCTCCACTTGTAAAAGGATCAGGAACAAGAGGGCACTGATTAAAAATGATCTTGTAAAGAGGCATGTGTGACACGAGGAGAAACTTTTTCACGCAGTGAGTGGTTCAGGTCTGTAATTGTGGTGGAGTCTGGTTCAATCGAAGCATTGAAGAAGGTATTATTTAAAGAAAAATAATGTTCACAGTTGTGGGCAAAGAGTGGGATGATGGCAGTAAATTGTTCAGCGAGCACGTGCAGATATGACTGGCAGAATCCTGTACCAACTCTGATTCAGAGGTCCCACCTTCTGGACATGAGGTTGAGTCCATCTGCCCGCTCCGGTGGACATAAAAGATCTGATGGTCACTATCAGAAGAAGAGTTGCATTTCCCTGTCACTGTCCTGCGCTGAGGTATAACCCCACCCACCAGCTAACATCATGACTGAGGAAGATATTACTATATGTTCATTGTTGTTTTGTGGGACCTGGCTGTGTGAAAATCGCCACTGTGTTTCCTGCATCACAGCAGGACCGAGCTCGAGCAGTTCCTGCCGTGGCTCAGACACGAAGAGTGAACATTTCAAGTTGGTTCCATTCTGCATTGAAATATTTTTCAGTGCCCTGGTGATTGAGGTGGGGACTGCAGGAATGGGAAGGGGTTTCCCATTTACATTCTGTCTCTTCTGATTGAAATGGAATCATGAGGGAAGTGAAAGATGTAAATTTTTAATTTGAGAACTTGTGCAGGAAAGTGCTCACCTCGGTCAGCGCAGTCTCAAAGACTTGAGTTGGAAGCTGAACTTTCTCTTTAGCATCGAGCTTGCGTTTGTTTTTTCAAATTCTTTCTGTTTGGGTAGACACTGGGCTTCTCAAGGGCTTGATGAGAAGTGACAGGAGGCAGCGTTGCGTGTAACGTCGGATCAACTGAGCCTGAACGAGGCCAGGTCCTCTGCATCGCTGATTGGCACGGGGAACAGGGTGCGGCCTGATCCTTGGAGCGTGTAATCAGTTGCCATGCCTCGAGGGCGATCTGACCACATTTGGATGGGCCGGTTGGAGGAGAGTGAGCAGACTGTTTGAGGGGTGCGGGTAAAGGTGGTTTCCTTTTGACGGCCGGGTTTCCGATGTTGGGAGTTCTTGCAAAAAGTCACGTCGTTCGGAGGGCTGACAAGACGGAAGCAGGGCACTGAGATTTTCAGGCAGCTTCTGCCTTTGGTGAGTGGAATAAGACTCGGAAATCCGTGTCGTCTGCAGGCAAAGCGATGCCTGGGAGACAGGAAGAGCGGGCAGGCGGAAGGGACACTGAACGCTCTGAGGCACCCCTGGGGCCCGAAAGCCACGAGGGCAGCAAGCCATGTTCCGAGAGCCTGCCCCTGAGTCCTGAAGGTGGCCAGGTCTCCGGTGAGTTGATGGGGGTAGGCGGGGAGGTAGAGCCAGTCCTGCCTCCTGAAGTTGCTGGTCACAGGAGGGGAATCTCTGAACCGTTTAGGGAAACCCTTCACGAAACAGCAGAACATCCAAAGTGCGCAGTGGAACCTGCTGGAGAATTCAAGACAGTCTTCCCTGACGTGGAACCCGGGAGCAAGCCAGACAGCTGCACGCCCACAGAAAAGGAAGAGCTCCTTGCTTTCCCCAACAAACTGACAAGTGAAAACGTGCAGGCTGTGCTGACAAACCCTTCTGGGTCCCAGGCCTCTGGAATCGAGGTTGCGAGGCTGAACCTTCCCGGATCCACCGTCTCGGAGACTGCGGCCAAAGGTGCGGAACTCGTTGGGCCGTTTGCTGCAGAACCCGATACTGGAGGGTCAGACCTTCCCGGGTCATTCATCTCAGAGCCTGGGCCTGAGCAAACAAGCCTCCCAGAGTCAACTGTCTCAGAGCCTGATGCTGGAGGAGCAACTTTATCTGGATCATTCATGTCAGAGACTGAAGCTATGCAGACAGATATTCCTGGTTCATCCATCTCGGAGGGTAATGGAGGGACAAATCTTCCTGGGTCATCCATCTCCGATAGCATGGGAGGGACAAATTGTGCTGGGTCATCTGTCTTGGAGAGTATTGGAGGGTCAAAGCTTCCTGGGTCATCCATCTCTGACACTAATGGAGGAACAAACCTTCCTGGGTCATCCGCCTCGGAGAGAAATGGAAGGTCAGTCTCGAAATCAGAATTTGCTCCGTCTTTGAAACTACAACCGCAATACGAGCAGGGAATGGCTGACACAGAGAATCGGTGCACATTCCTACAGAAACCCGAAAGTCAAAACGAGGCAGAGTCGCCGATTACCATTGAGCACCATTTAGAAGATCAGGCTGAATCACTGCCTTTACCTTTGGGCGTGTTGCACGACCGTGATTCGAAGGCTGATTTTAAACCCTTGGAGAAGCACACCATTGGGAAGGAAATAAGTGAAGCTTTGAATACCTCCAAGGGCTCAGCGGTCCTTCAACCAGCAGACCTCCTTTGGCTAGCCAACAGCGGACCCGCCATTTCTGATGGTGTGGCAGCCAGGGAACCTCCGACGGACTCTGAGCCCCTGGTTCGAGCAGAAAACCTGGATGAAAATGCCGTGTTGCTGTTGGAGGAAGCCGAGGGAGAGCCGGCTTCCGTTCTGCCGGAGGAGCAGGCGATCCAAGCTGGTAGCAAGTCTGCCAGGTCGATGTGCTCGGCAAGCCGAGATGGGCTGGGGGACCCAGTGATCTGGAAACGCTCGAGGAGGAGGAGAAGGAGGAGGAGAAGAAGGGGACAGAAAACCAACTCCTCAGTGCAGGCAGGCAACGAAGCAAGGAGTTCTGACGTCTTGCCCAATATTGCAGTATCAGACAAGGGTCAGCAGGCTGGAGAGATAGCAGCCCCAGTACCTCCCACTGGTGCACAGCAGCCTTCGGCTGTTGGTGGAGTAAAGGAATTGTGTGGAGAAGGTCCATGCACCAATAGAGTAGATGACACCAAACCGGAGACTGTAAAGATAGTAGTGGACTGCAATCAAACTGGAAGTAAGGATATTTTTAACATATGCACCTAATCAGTTGAACCCAGATATGTATGCTAAACTTCACAAACTTCTGATTTTGCCACATAACCATCTAGGAATCGGGAGCTGGAGTGAGCCTTGCCAGCATTTGAGCCTGCTCTGCCATTCGATACGATCCTGCCTGATTCCCCTATAGCTCAACTCATAATGTCATACAGCATGGAGGCAGACCCTTCAGTCCAGCCTGTCCATGCGACCAGACATCCTAATCTGATCTAGCCCCATTTGCCAGTATTTGGCCCATATCCCTCTAAACCCTCCCTACTCATACATCCATCCAGATGCTTTTTAAATGTTGTACCAGCTTCCACCACTTCCTCTGGCAGCTTGTTCCATAAACACACCACTCTCTGTGTGAAAATGTTCCCCTTAGATGCTTTCTAAATCCTTCTCCTCCCACCTTAAATATATGCCCTCTAGTTATAGATTCTCCTACTTGAGGAAAAAGACCTTAGCTATTCACCCTATCCATGCCTCTCATGATTTTATAAACTTCTATAAGGTCACCCCTCAGCCTTCGATGATCCGTGGAAAATAGCCCCTTTCTGTCCAGCCTCTCCCTATAGCTCAAACCCTCCTACCCTGGCAACATCCTTGTAAATCTTTTTTCCGCCCTAATAAGTTTAACAACATCTTTGCTGTAGCAGGGAGACCAGAATTGTATGCAGTATTCCAAAAGTGGCCTCACCAATGTCTGTACTGCCACACCATGACGTCCCACCTCCTACACTCAATGTGCTGACCAGTAAACACCTTCTTCACTAGCCTATCTACCTGCGACTCCACTTTCAGGGAACTATGCACCTGCATCCCTTGGTTTCTTGTTCAGCAGTGTCCTACCATTAGCTGTAAGCCCTGCTCTGGGTTGTTGTACCAAAATGCAATACCTCACATTTATCCAAATGAAACTCCATCTGCCCCTCCTCAGCCCATTGGCACCTCTGATCAAGGCTCTATTGTACTCTGAGATAATCTTCTTCACTGTCCACTACACCACCAATTTTGCTGTCATCTGCAAACTAACTAACCATACCTCCTGTATTCACACCCAAATCATTTATGTAACTGATGAAGAGCAGTGGACACAGCACTGGTCCTTGTGGCACTCCACTGGCCACAGGCCTCCAGTTCAAAAAACAACCCTCCACCATTCTCTATCTGCTACCTTTGAGCCAGTTTTGTATTCAATTGGCTAGATCCCCCTGGATCCCATGCAATCTACCATGCTGAACCTTGTCGAAGACTTTGCTGAAGTCCATATAGACAATGTTGATCACTCTGCCTTCATCCCATGCACAAAGCCATGCTGACTATCCCTAATCAGACATTGCCTTTCCAAATACATGTAAATCCTGGCCCTCAAAATCCCTTCCAAAAACGTACTCGCCATCGATGTAAGGCTCACTGGTCTAAAGTTCTGTGGCTTTTCCTGACAGCCCTTCTTCAATAATGTCCCAACATTAGCCAGTCCCCTCCTAGCATTCACACATCAATCAATATCTGACACCAACAGTCCTCTGAGATAGAGAATTCCAAAGATTTTCCACCCTCCGAGGAGAAAGATACCTTTCCTTCTCTCAATGCTAAATAGCCAATCCAGTATGCCCAGTTAGACTCTCCAACAGGGGAAACATCCTCCCAAGATCTACTCTGTCAAGTACTCTAGGTTTAATTAAACTTATTTTTCTCTTTATTCTTTCATTGGATGTGGGCCTCACTGACTAGGCCAGCATTTGATGCCCATCCCTAATTACCCCCTTTAACTGAGTAGCTTGCCTGGCCATTTCAGAGGGCAGTTGAGAGTTAACTGCATTGCTGAGAGTCTGGAGTCACATGTAGACTAGACTGGGTAAGAACAGCAAATTTCCATTCCTAAAGGGCATTGGTGAACCAGTGAGGTTTTACAACAATCGGTGGCAGTTTCATGGCCATCATCTCCGAGCATACCACCCATAAACTACTTCTCCACCATCATGTCCTCAGAGCATTAACCTAGGTTTCAGGATTATTAGTGGAGTGACATGAACTCTTTGTCATCATCTGCCCTGAATCTAATCACATCTCAATTCTTTTGAATTCCAGAGAATGCAGTTGCGTTATACTCAGTCTCTTGTAGAGCCGCCTACAGTGTGGAAGCAGGCCATTTTGGCCCATCGAGTCCACACCCACCTTCCGAAGAGCATCCCACCCAGATCCGTGCCCCCTACCCTAACCCTATAACCCTGCATTTCCCATGTCTAACTCACCTACGCATAGAGTCATGCAGCATGGAAACAGACCCTTCAGTTCAACCAGTCTATGCTGATCATAATCCAACTAGTCTCACTTGCCTGCTCCTAGCCTATATCATGTCAAACCTTTCTTATTAATGTACCTACTCAAACATCTTTTAAATGTTGTAATTGTACCCACATCCACCACTTCCTCGGGAAGTTCATTCCACACACGAACCACCCTCTGTGTAAAAAATTTTACTTCTCATGTCTTTTTTAAATCTCTCTCCTCTCACGTGAAAAATATGTCCCTGGTCTTGAAATCCTCCATCCTAGAGAAAAGACAACTACCATTAACTCTATCTATACCCCTCACTGCTTTATGAACCTCTATAAGGTCGCCTCACAACCTCCTATATTCCAGTGAGAAAAGTCCCAGCCTATCCAGCCTTTCTTTATAACTCAAACCTTCCAACTCGGCAACATCCTGGTAAATCTCTTCTGAACCCTCTCCAGCTTAATTATATCCTTACTATAACTGGGCGACCAAAGGAAACCAGAGCACCCGGAGGAAACCCACGCAGATACAGGGACAATGTGCAAACTCCACACAGACAGTCGCCCGAAGGTGGAATCGAGCCCAGGTCCCTGGCGCTGTGAGGCAGCAGGGCTAACCATGTCCTCGTAGGACGGTCCAAAAATCAACATAATGAGCCTTTGTTGTGCCCTCTTTAAGACAAGTAAATCCCTCCTTCAGTCCAGAGACCATAACTGTACACAATATTTCATATGTGGTCTCACTAAAGCGCTGTATAATTACTGCATGCTTCCTTTCAGTGTTCCAGCCCCTTGCAATAGAAGCTGATGTATCATTAATATTCTGAACTATTTGCTGCAATAATACCTGTCTCTTGGGGAAGTGGAGGTTTCAGCTCATTCCAAACCTTTTATATTTTTAAATATTGCTAGTAATTTCTGTAGCATTACTCGGTTGATCCAAATGCTGCTTTGTTCGTAGCTCCTTGAAAGCGGAGTCACAGGTAGACAAGGCGGTGAAGAAGGCTTTCAGCATGCTCGCTTTCATTGGTCAGAGCATTGAGTAAAGGAGTTGGGATGTCTTGTTGCAGTTGTACAAGATGTTGAAAGGACCATAATTGGAGTACTGTGTGCAGTTCTGATCATCCTACTGTAGAAAGGATATTATTAAACTATAAAGAGTTCAGAAAAGATTATTTGGATGCTACCTGGACTGGAAGGTTTGAGTTATAAGGAGAGGCTGGATAGTTTGGGACTTTTTTCCCCTGGAACGAAGGAGACTGAGGGCTGACCTTATAAAGGTCTACAATGTAAGAGGCATTGATAAGGTAGATAGCCAACAGCTTTTCCCCAGGGTAGGGGAGTGTAAAACTAGAGGGCAGAGGTTTAAGTTGAAAGGGGAGAGATACAAAAGGGTCCAGGTGGGCAATTTTTTTCCGCACAGAAGGTGGTGAGTGTCTGGAACAGGTTGCCAGAGGTAGTGGTGGAGGTATGTACAATATTGTCATTTAAGAAATGATTGGACAGGTACATGGATGGGATAGGTATGGTGGGCTATGGACCAAATGCAGGCAAATAGGACTAGATTAATTGTGAAAACTGGTCAGCATGGACAAGTGGGGCCGTAGGTTCTGTTTCCACGCTGTAAACCTCTATGACTCTAATAGCAATTACGCTACCTCAGTACAGGAAAAAAACAAAATGATCCATACAGGGGACGTGTGGAACCACTGAAAGGAAAATGCTGAACAATGGCTTTTCAAGGAGCACTGCCTTTAACCCTGCCACTAACTCTCAGCAGCTTCTCAGTCACAGTGTATTGGAATCAGCAATTTAACTGCCTGGTTAGCCAGATAATCTCACTGAAGTTAACTTTTTACAAAGAATCCAATCTTGTTCTTTCTGATGAGCTTGTCTTTGACAGCTAGACTGTGTTGGAACAGTTGCCAATGATTGGACTGTTAAATAAAGAAGACACAACAGTCCGAATCCCAAAGATCCAGCTAATGAAGCATTCCACTCGATACAGAGTCAACTTAAACGAGTGTTACTGTATATTGTTCAGCTGATCAGGAAACTATCCCAGGCTGCCCGTTTTAACACCACTGGATCAATTGTTGTGAAAGGCCAGATCCTGACATCCATTTGGGGTGGGAGGTGATAATTCGTCATTACCTATTTGCAACAACTTGTAAATCTTCAGTGCCCGGTGTGGAATTTCTAACACTTCCCCAGCATTTCTGACACTGAACTTTGTTCATGCTATATGTTGAGGGCCCATGCCTCAGTCAGGCTAATTGAAGTTTGCCCCTACACAGAGCAGGTGTGAACTCCATGTCAGGCAGTCAAGCCTTCCCAAATATGGTTTGATCAGAAAACTCATAGGCTCAGCGATAGGCCATTCAGCCCGTCTTAGCCAGTTCTGCAAGATGACTGGCATGCATCTTGTCTCCATCCAAGCACCTTGGTTCCGTAACTGTTCAAACTCTTCCGTAAGCTAAGACACTTGGTGATAGATTACCAGTAACCCCTCAGACCAAAACTGAATGTGCTGGACATGCGCAAGGTAGTTGATTTTTTTTTTGTTTTAGTGCAATGTTGGCTAACTTGGTTGCAAAAAAGAAAGGTTCCAGCACTCGTGAAGATGGCAACAGTCTACAAACATTACCTGTGAAGACAAAGAAAGTATCTTTTTCTCGTGACTTTGCTCTGGAATTATGCGGCCCAGACCAATGTGCGAAATCTCGTTCCAATGAAGCTACGGTGTGGAAGCAGGCCATTTGGCCTATCGAGTTCACGCCAACCCTCCAAAGATTATCACACCTAGACCAACGCCATTTCCCAACCCGCCCCCCCCCCCCCCCCCCCCCCCTTTCCCTGTAACCCTGCATTTTCCCATGGCTAATCCACCTAGGCTGCACATCCCTGGACACAATGGGCAATTTACCATGGCCAATCCACCTAACCTGCACATCTTTGGACCGTGGGAGGAAACCAGAGCACCCGGAGGAAACCCACACAGACGCGAGGAGAATGTACAAACTCCACAGTGGACCGAGGGTGGAATCAAACTCCGGTTTCTGGTCCTGTGAGGCAGCAGAGCTAACCACTGAGCCGCTGTGCTGCCCTCTCCTCATTGACTTTCATTGGACAGAATGTTGATTGACCCAATTGTTTTGCAGCTCATCCAACAGAAAACTACAATGGGCTCTTTTTCTTCCTGTACTACACTCACTGCAGTTATACAGAATCACATTCTAATTCAGTCATTCCAGAAAATCCTACCAGTTGGCTGGAACCACTTCAATAAAAATCTTACAAAATATTTCCAATGTTAACTTTTGCCATCTTTATTTGTCACTGTCAATTATGGTCTGAATATTATGCTCGTGGTGGTGGGGACAGCGCATTGCTCCAGAATAGTTCTAAGGTTTGCATGCTGTGCTGTGCTGATGTTCGATGAGTTAATTTAAGTTTTACATTATTTTCATATCTAGGAGCTCTGAAGATAGAGGAAGACACCAGTGCAGAAGGTCAGATAATGGGTGAAAGAACCAGACGGAAAGTGACGAGGAGGAAACCAGAAAGTGACGAGGTGAAGTGCATAAACATTCCTAGGTCCTAGCAAAGAACGTTCTATTCCCACATGGTCCGTCCCACCTCTCCTCATTCTGAATCACGGAATTGTTACAGGCCAGAAGGAGACCGTTCAGCCCCTCTTGTTTGTGCTGTCTCTCCAGCCAAACAATTCTCTTCGTGCTATTCTCCAGCACCCGCCTCCCCCCCCCCCCCCCCCCCCCCCCCCCCCCCCCATCCCCACCCACCATGACCTGCCCCTTTGGCGATAACCATTTGATTCCCTTCCAGAAGCCTCAATCGAATCTGCTTCTACCACACTCGGGCACCGCATTGCAAATCCTCACTACTTGTTCAGAGGATGATGTGGGCATCACTGGTGCATTCAACTTTTTTTTTTTTACTGTATTCATTCATGGGATGAGGGTGTCGCTGGCCAGGCAACATTTATTGCCCATCCCTAATTGCCCAGAGGACAGTTAAGAGTCAACCACATTGCTGTGGGTCTGGAGTTCTATGTAGGCCAGACCAGGTAAGGATGGCAGTTTCCTTCCCTAAAAGATGTTAGTGAACCAGATGGGTTTTTCTGACAATTGACAACGGATTCACGGTCATCATTAGATTCTTAATTCCAGATATTTATTGAATTCAAATTCCACCATCTGCTGTGGCGGGATTCGAACCCAGGTCCCCAGAATGTTATTTGGGTCTCTGGATTAATAGTCCAGCGATAATACCACTAGGCCATCATCTACCAACCCCGGGTGCCCCTTCATAAGCCGGTGGTGAGCTGCTGCCTTGAAGCTCTGTGTGGTGTAGGGGCACTTGCAGTGCTGTTAGGGAAGGAGTTCCCCAAGTCCTATCAGCACGCAAATATCCCTTCACCTCCCCCCCCCCCCCCCCCCCCCCCCAAACTCCCCACTGTCTGCCCTAGTCACCCGTGATCCCTACCCCTTTTGTCCAATCAACCCCAACCAAATTGTGTCATCCCCCACGTGACATTATCCTCTGCTTCTCTCTGTCCTTCGCTATCTCCACTCCTCCTGTCACCTTTGGCCCCTTCCTCTCTACTCCCACCCCCTTCCCTCCCCTCACCATCTCCACTCCCTACTTGTCCCTCAGCTGCCCTTTGCCCATCCTGCATTTCCCACCACTCTTATCCCCTCTGAGCTATGTGTGGGCAGCTTTATACCTAGTGTGCAACAAGTAACAGTGATTAGACAATTTTCAAGTGATTTGTCCTTTGCTCGCTGAGTTCTGGAGATGGCCTTGATTTTCACACTGATCTTAACTTCAAGGCGGAGATACCAGAAGCCAATGAGAAAGTTAAAGGAGCGAATGGCCAGGCTGAGGCGGTTGCTGCAAATCTCCATCAGGAAGCAGAGGCTCAGTATGTGGAGAAAAACAAGGAAACCCCCAAATCAGGTAACTGTGGTCATGTTGCAACTGCATAGGACATTGGTGAGGCCACTTTTGGAGTACTATGTACAATTCTGGTTACCCTTGTACAAGAAGGATGTTGTTAAACTTGAAAGGGTGGAGAAAAGATTTACCAGGATGACTGGAGGGTTTGAACTACAGGGAGAGGCTGAATAGGCTGGGGCTATTTTCCCTGGAGCTTCAGAGGCAGAGGGGTGACCTTACAGGGGTTTATTAAATTATGAGGGGACATGGATAGGCTGGGGGAGTCCAAACCTAGAGGGTGTAGGTTTAAAGTGAGAGGGGAAAGATTTAAAAGGGATCTGAGGGGCAACTTTATCACACCGAGGGTGGGGTATTTATGGAATGAGCTGCCAGAGGAAGTGTTGGAGGCAGGAACAGTTACAACATTTAAAAGGCATCTGGATGGATATATGAATAGGAAGGGTTTAGAGGGATATGGGCCAAATGCTGGCAAATGGGAGTAGGTCAGATTGGGATTTCAGGTAGGCGCGGACGAGTTGGACCAAAGGGTCTGTTTCCATGCTGTATGACTCTGAGTGAAACCAATGCCTTGAAAGCAACTTTGTCAAAGTTCAGAGGGACGGGTTAGGGCAGGGTTTCCGTTTTCTTCAGCAATGTCGGTTGATTAATGCATGGGCTTCGTCCGTTCATAATAATTGCTTTCTGTAAAAACAACACTGAACTTCAGAGGAAGGGCTGAGGGTTTTCCTATTGAGTACCAGATGTTGCAGTCAATTTCTCATTCCCAGCACCTAAACTTTAAAAGCAGACAGTTCCGCTGAGCTGCACAGAGACGTCTTATCACCTTGTACGTGAAATCGGGACGCTCAGTAATACGAGAGACGTCAGGGATGCTGGAAATCTGGAATAAAAGCGCTGGAAATACTGGGAAGGTCATATAGAAACTTCAGTATGGAAAGAGGCCCTCCAGCCCATTGTGAAAGGTCTGGCAGCCATCTGTGGAGAGACGTCACAGAGTTCCTGCTGCAGGCTGATGAAGGGTCAGTGACCTGAAACATTCACCGTGACTCTCTCCCCAGAGATGCTGCCTGTCCAGCTGAGTACAGTCAACTTTGTTTTAACCAGCACTCTTGATAAACTGGCAAAAATTATGTACATCAAGTATTAGCCTGGAGCTCAGTGACCAGTGGTGTTCCACAGGGATCTGTTCTGAGACGTCTCCTCTTTGTGATCTTTATAAATGACTTGGATGAGGAAGTAGAAGGGTGGGTTAGTAAGTTTGCCAATGACACGAAGGTTGGCAGAGTTGTGGACAGCGTGGAGGGCTGTTGTAAGTTGCAAAGGGACATTGACAAGATGCAGAGCTGGGCAAAGAAGTGGCAGATGGAATTCGATCCAGAAAAGTGTGAAGTGATTCATTTTGGAAGGTCGAATTTGAATGCAGAATACAGGGTTAATGGCAGAATTCTTGACAGTGTGGAGGAACAGAGGGATCTTGGGGTCCACGTCCATAGATCCCTCAAAGTTGCTACCCAAGTTGATAAGGTTGTTAAGAAGGCGTATGGTGTGTTGGCCTTCATTGGCAGGGGATTTGAGTTTAAGAGGTTATGCTGCAGTTCTATAAAACCCTGGTTAGACCACTCTTGGAATATTGTGTTCAGTTCTGGTTGGTTCATTATAGGAAGGATGTGGAAGCTTTTAGAGAGGATGCAGAGGAGATTTACCAGGATGCTGGACTGGAGGGCAAGTCTTATGAGGAAAGGTTGAGGGAGCTAGGGCTTTTCTCTTTGGAGCGAAGCAGCATGAGAGGTGACTTGATAGAGATGTACCAGATGATGAGGGGCATAGATAGAGTGGATAGCCGGAGACTTTTTCGCAGGGCGGAAATGACTATTACGAGGGGACATAATTTTTTAAGGTGATTGGAGGAAGGTATAGGGGAGATGTCAGAGGTAGGTTCTTTACACAGAGAGTGGTGGGCGCGTGGAATGCGCTGCCAGCGGTGGTAGTGGAGTCAGATACATTAGGGACATTTAAGCGACTCTTGGATAGGCACACGGATGATAGTGTAATGTAGGGTATGCAGGGTAGTTTGATCTTAGTAGGATAATAGGCCAGCACAACATTGTGGGCCGAAGGGCCTGTACTGTGCCGTACTGTTCTATGTTCTCTATTCTATCAATCATAGAATCCCCAGAGTGTGGAAACGGGCCATTCGGCCTAACAAGTCCACGCAGACCTCCTGAACAGCGTCCCACCCAGACCCATCCCCCACCCTATCCCCACATTTCCCATGTCTACCACACCTAATCTACACATCCTTGAACACTACAGACAACTTAGCATGGCCAATCCACCTAACTTGCATATCTTTGAACTGGGGAGTTTACAGTATTATCCTGTCCAATTATTACAGTTTTTTGTAATCTATTTACCTCTGTGTAAATATACTTGTTCAATTGAATGGCCACATAAAATATCAATGGTTGATCCAATTTCAAATCAATTTCTCTTCAAATACTGTGATATCTGAATAGTCAGTTGAGGGTGCGAGTGAGAAGGCTGTCTGCTGCTTAGTTTTATTTGAGGCAAAGTTTCCTTATTATTGAAGTGATTTCGCCGTTAATAAAGTGCGTATACCCTCTGCATTACTTTTCTATTACATAGCATGTGTTCTAGTATTGTTTATGTGGACCATTTGATTATCCGAAATATTTGATCAATCAGCACATTCCTCGTCCCATAGGTGCCGGAAAACTTACCATTTACTGTATCTCCTATGTTTTCCACCCAGAATAAACTCGATATAAACTCTGAACCTACATTTTATCCTCGGAGAACGTGGGGAAACAGACTGGGTAACCCATGCTCGACAGGGAATCAAGTGTTAATTTGTTTCTCCTGGGATGTGGGCACTGTTGACTATGGCAGGATGTGTTGCCCTCCTCCAGTTGCCTCTTCGGAAGCCGGTGGTGAGCTGCCTTCATGAACCTCTGTCATCCACCCACAGTGCTGCTAAGGAGGGACTTCCAGGATTTTGACTCAACAACACAGAAGGAATGACTGATATATTTTCAAGATGTGTGGCTTGGAGGGAAACTCGCAGGGGTGCTGGCGGTCCCATGTATCCATTACTGCTGACCACCTGGATGTCAGAGGTTGCTGGTTTAGAAGCTATTGTTGAAGGATCCTTGGCAAGTTGCCGCAGTGCATCTTGGAGATGTACACACTGCAGTTACCGTGCATTGGTAGGAAGAAAGTGAACATTTAAGATGGTGGTTGAGATGCCAGTCAAGCAGGTTGCTTTGTCCTAGATGATGTTGAGCTTCTTAAGTATAGCTGGAGCTTCACTTATCCAGGTTTTAGATAGTTGACAGGCTTTGGGGAGTCAAGAGGTGTGTTACTCACTGCAGAATTCCCAGCACCTGACCTGTTCTTGGAGCAACAGTATTTTTATGATTGACTGAGTTCAATTTCTGGTCATTGGTAACTGCCAGGATGTTGATAGTGGGAATTTGGGACTGGGAATGCTGTTGAATGCCACGAGGGTGGTTCGATACCCTCATGTTGTCATTGTGTGACGCAAATGTTACTTGCCACTTTATCAGGCCAAGCTTGAATGTTATCCAGGTCTTGCCACAAATGGATGTGGATTGTGTCAGTATCTGAAGAGATGTAAATGGTGCTGAACAATGTGTAAGGATCAGTGAACATCCTCACTTCTGATCCTATGAAGGGAAGGTTATTGATGAAACAGCTGAAGATGGTTGCGTCTAGGACATTCCCCAGAGCAATCCCTGCACTGATGTCCTTGGACAGACCCAAAGACCACGACCATCTTCCATTGTGCTAGGTATGACTCCAACCAATGGCGTGTTTTACCCCAATTCCCACTGACTTCAATTTTGCTGAGGCTCCTTGATGCCATACTCAGTTAAACCTTAAAGTCAAGAGCATTTGTCAGTACCTCACCTCTTGAGTTCAGGTCTCTTGTCCATATTTGGACCAAGGCAGTAATGCGGTCAGGAGTTGAGTGGCTGTGCTGGCACCTAAATTGAACAGCAGTGAGCTGGTTATTTCGGTCTAGTTCTGTGACTCAGTAACCCCGTTGACATCCCTTTCCATCTCTTGCTAATGACCATGTGGTGGTACTTGGCCAGGTTGGACGTGTCCTGCTTTTTGTGTGTAGGGCATAGTTGGGTCCACACAAAGTGAAGTATCCAGTGAAGAAATGCCTGAAGGCACATCACATTGAGTGGTTGAAGATTGACATCTATGGTGCAGTGGACCACAGGAGGGGATAAAGGTGGATCATCCACTTATTTTAGTAGCTGCAAAGTGTTGCAAGTGCTTCAGCTCGTCTTTTGCACATATGTGTGGTTGCCCAGTTATAGGAAGGACATTATTAAGCTGGAGAGGGTTTAGAAGAGATTTACCAGGATGTTGCCAAGTATGGAAGGTTTGAGTTATAAAGAGAGGCTGGATAGGCTGGGACCTTTTTCACTGGCGCGTGGGAGGTTGAGAGGCAACCTTATACAAGTTTATAAATTATGAGGGGTATAGATAGATTTAATAGCAGTTGTCTTTTCCCTAGGATAGAGGATTTCAAGACTAGGGGGTCTATTTTTAACGGGAGAGGAGAGAGATTTTAAAGAAGAGATGAGGGGCAAATTTTTTACACAGGGTGGTCCGCATGTGGAATTAACCCTAAGGAAGTGGTGGATGTGGGTACAATTACAACGTTTAAAAGATATTTGGATAGGTATACAAATAGGAAATGTTTGGAGGGACCTGGACCCAGGAGCAGCAGGTGGGACTAGTTGGAATTATGGTCGGCACAGACTGGTCAAACTGAAGGGTCTGTTTCTGTGCTGTGTGACTCTATGACTGTAGATGTCTGAACTAAACATGGTGTTCTCTTTTCCTCTCCCTCAAACAGCATTACAGCTGATTGTGAGCAACCTGAATTCTTCAAAGAATTTTGCTGAGCTGCAGATTGCTATTATCACATTCTTCAAGGAGAGAAAGCTGTTGGTCACATCCATTGGCGTGAAGAAATCGAGGTAGGGAGGGGTGAAATCAGTTTGTCATTAGGACAGTGCCTGCTGCTGCACTGGTTTTCAATACCCAGTGAAATTGTGGGGTGAGATTTTGAGGTGGAAGTGGCAGCCATCAAGCTCAGGCTGAGTGTTACCAGCTACGAGACCACTTGAAATCATAGAATCATTAGAATCCCTACGGTGTGGAAACAGGTCTTCGGCCCAACAAGTCCACACCGAACCTCGGAGCATCCCACCCAGACCCATCCCCCTATAACCCACCTAATCTACACATCCCTATGGGCAATTTAGCTTGGCCAATCCACCTAACTTGCACATTTTTGGACTGTGGGAGGAAACCAGAGCACCCGGAGGAAACCCACGCAGACACTGGGAGAATGTGCAAACTCCACACAGACAGTTGCTTGCGGCTATAATCGAACCCAGGTCCCTGGTGCTGTGAGGCAGCAGTGCTAACCACTGAGCCACCGTGCCGCCAAATGTTTGTGGTTTTGTTTTCCGTCGGTGGGCATGGCTCAGTTCTTGGTTGTCTGGGGCCCTGAGGCTACTGCAACCACACTTCGTCGGATGGTGAGTCTTTTCTCTCTATCAGGTCAAGTTTTGATCCCTTGCCCCTCATGTTGAACAATATGCCCCCTCCTCCCACCGCTACCAGGACAGCTCTCAACTCCACCCTGTCCCAAGCCACTGGTCTACCGTCACCGTCCCTCCTCCTGCACTGTCAGTGACCCATTCTTGTTCCCCACCCACATTCTCCGAATTTACATCCAGCCAGTTCCCAGCAGGTCTGGGGTCACACTGAAGAAAGAAATTTAGGAAGCAGTGCACTTGGTGTCTTCTGTTTCCCCCTTTAATTATGTTTTAATCAATCTGTTCAGGCTTGAACCTTGATCTCCTGGCGTAGAGGTAGGGGCATTATCACTGTGCCATGAGTTTCCATTTCAGTCACACTCGTACAGCCCTTTGGCCCATTGTATCCATGTCAGTCATTAGACAATAGTTTATTCTAATCCCATTTTCCAGCACATGGCCTGTAGCCTCGTACGGTCTGGCACTTCAAGGCTCATCTAGTAAGTTTTTAAATGTCGTGAAGGTTCCTGCCCATTACCACCTTTTCAGGCAGTGAGGTCCAAATACCCACCATCCCCTGAGTGGAAAACTCCTTCCTCAAATCCCCTGTTCCTTACCTTCACACTGTGCCCCCTGGCTATTTACCCCCCTACGAAAAGCATAGAACTGTACAGCACAGGAAGGGGCCCTTCAGCCCACGATGTTGTGCCGAACACGACGCCAAATCAAACTAATCCCTTCTGCCTGCCCTTGGTTCGTATCCCTCCATTCCTTGCATATTCATGTGCTTATCTAAAAGTCTCTTAAATGCCCCAGTCATACCTGCCTCCATCACCATGCCTGGCAGCACATTCCAGACACCTACCACACTGTGTTTAAAAAAAAAAACTTGCCCCTCATATCTCGTTTGAACTTGCCCCCTCTTAAGTGCATACCCCTAGTTTTAGACATTTCACTCTGGGAAAGATTCTGACCGTCAACCCTATCTATGCATCTCATTATTTTATAGACTTCAACAAGTCTCCCTTCAGCCTCCACCGCTCCAGAGGAAACAATGTGAGTTTTTCTAGCCTCTCCTTATAGTTCATACCCTCTCCTGCAGGCAGCATCCTGGTAAATCTCTTCTGCACTCTCTCCAAAGCCTCCACATCCTTCCTGTAATGTGGCGACCAGAATAGACCGCAGTACTCTTAAGTGTGGCCTAACCAAAGTCTTTGAAAGCTGCAACATGACATTCTGACTCTTGTACTCAATTCCCCGACCAATAAAGACAAACATGCCTTCTTTACCACCCTATCTACTTGAGTGGCCACTTTCAGGGAACTATGGACTTGAACCCCAAGATCGCTCTGTACATCAATGCTGTTCAGAGTCCTGCCATTAACTGTATACCTTTCCATAACATTTGATCTCCCAAAGTGCAGCACCTCACACTTGCACATATTAAACTCATCTGCCATTTCCCCATCCATATCTGCAACTGATCTATATCCAGCTGTATCCTTTGACAACCTTCTACACTATCCACAACTCCACCGATCTGCAAACTTACTAACCCACCCATCTACATTTTTATCTAAGTCATTTATATATATCACAAACAGCAGAGGTCCCAGTGTGGATGCCTGCAGAACACCACTAGTCACAGACCTCCAGCCTGAAGAGCAGCCTTCCACCCTCTGCCTTCTATGAGCAAGCCAATTCTGAATTCATGCGGCTAAGCCACCATGGATCTCATGCATCTTAATCTTTTGAATGAGCCCACCATGAGGGACTTTGTCAAAAGCCTTACTAAAATCTATATAGACAACATCCCATGCTCTACCCTCGTCGATCACCTTTGTCACCTTCTCAAAAAATTCAAACAAGTTAGTAAGACATGACCTGCCCAGCACAAAGCCGTGATGACTGTCCCTAATTAGGCCATGTTTTTCCAAATGGGCGTAAATCCTATCCCTAAGAATTTTCTCCAATAGCTTCCCAACCACCAATGTGAGCCTGACTGGTCTGTAGTTTCCTGGATTATCCCTATTTCCCTTCTTGAACAGAGGAACAACATTAGCTACTCGCCAGTCCTCCAGGACCTCTCCAGTGCCTAACAAGGATACAAAGATCTTGTTCAAGCAATCTCCTCTCTTGCCTCTCTCAATAACCTGGGGTAGATTACATCAGGCTCTGGGGATTTATCCACCTTAATGCTCTTCAAGAGATCCAACCCCACTTCTTTCTTGATCTCATAATGCCGTGGCATACTAGCATGATCCACACAAATCTCACTATTCTCCATATCCTTCTCCTGGGTGAATACTGACGCAAAGTACTCATTTAGGATCTCACCCACATTCTCTTATCCCAAGCATAAGTTCCCTCCTTTATCCTTGAGTGGTCCTACCTTCTCCTTAAGTTATCCTCTTTAATGTATGTATAGAATGCCTTGGGATTCTTTTTAACCCTACTTGCCAAGGCCATTTCATGGACCCTTCTTGCTGTCCTAATTCCCTGCTTGAGTTCCTTCCTGCTTTCTTTAATTCCTCACGGGCCCTGTCCGATTTTAGCTTCCTAAACCTTACATGTAATTTTCCCGATCCACACTGTCTATGCCCCTCAGAATTTTGTACACCTCAGTCAGAGAACCACTCCAGCCAAGGCAACATCCTGCTGGATCTCTTCTGCACTTTCTCCAGTGCAGTCACATCCTTCCTACAGTGTGGTGACCAGAACTGCGCACAGTACTCTGGATGTGGCCTAACTAATGTTATCTACAGCTCCATCCTAACCTCCTTGCTCTTGATAACTGGAATTACAATTGATGGAGGAGCTCTGCACAAACAAAAGAGATCTTGCATCAAGAGGAGCAAGACCAGCTTATGCATTAGAACAAGGTTGATCGTAGCAAAGATGTGGTTTTGGTATGTTGCAGTTAGCATCAGCAGCACCAGGGAAGGGAAAGAAAATGATTTACTTTTACAATAATTGCTTTTCAAGACCACCGGTGATTGCAAACCATTTTTACAACGAGCTATGTGCTTATGAAGTGTAGACATGATTGTAATGTATGAAATGTGTTTGCTTGTGTACAAAAAGTTTCCTGCAAATGACCAGATCCTCAACTCTAGGTGTAGGTTACAATGGTCACTCTTGACCAAGGCATGCTGCAAAACTCTCTCTTCCAATAGGACAACATGGTAGTTCAGTGGTTAGCGCTGCTGGGGTCCCCTCACAGTGCCGGGGACTCGGGTTCGATTCCACCCTCGGGCGACTGTGTGGAGTTTGCACGTTTTCCCCGTGTCTGAATGGGTTTCCTCCCACAGTCCAAACATGTGCAGTTAGGTGGATAGGCCACGGGAAATGCAGGATAACAAGAATAGAGGGTGGGGGGGGTGTAGTTGGGTGTGATGCTCTCCTGAGGGTCAGTATGGACTCAATGGGCCAAATGGCTTGCTTCTGCATTGTAGGGGTTCTATGATTCTATAATAGGTCCAGTTTTATCTCTGACATCCGCCTGAAGAAGCAGACAGGGCTGCAGTTAAAGGCCTCATCCGAGTAACTTCCTCCATCACTGCACTGGCCTGGATTATCTGCCCAAGTCTCTAGAGTGGATCTGAAGCCCTGACCTCCTAATTCTGAGGCATGATGCTGCTGCCACCAAAGCCGCACTTGATGCTTTCTGAGGCCAAATAGTCGGTCCGTGCGGTGCCCGGGACAGGAATGATTTTCCATCAGATGAGAACAAGGTCGAGAAACAGCCAAAAATCTGATTTTTGAAAAATGCATATTATAATTTTGTTTTTGTTGATTTTCATCTTCTGCCGTACCATGATGAATTCTTCTGTCTCCCTATCCCAAACTCTTGTGTTTTTCCTCTCTTCCCTGCGCCTCAGAAAACGTGGCTTCGTAACCTTCCTGTCTGGCAAGGACACAAGCCGAGCGCTGAAATACAACGGGGAAGATTTGCTGGGCCGTGCCCTGCGGATACGCAGACCCCTGCAGATTCCGAAGCCGGTAGCCGGTAAGTTCAAAAGTCTTAGTCAACGTTCAATCCTTGCATTCTTCCCGCAAGCGAGCTTGTTCGTTTGTTTGATATGTGGAATGTTTGTTTTAAAAGTTGTCAAGGGTAGGAAACGAAAGCTTAAGGATGCTGACGGGGAGGCCTCGATTCTGTGCCCGGCAAAGAAAAGCAACATTCAGAAAACAAGTACGTACGTGGCGTCGTTACAGCAGCATTCGAGAACCACAGTTGAATGTGCCGGCAAATTTGGTGATGAGAGGGACAGAGCAGCTAGTTCTCTCGATCTTGGGGTCCCTTGAAGCTGACTAGTAGCCGACTAGTCTCCGAGCCTCGGTGTTGTGGGTTTGGGTCTCGCCTGGTGGACCTGAGCACAGAACTTGGGGTGACAGTCACAGTGTGATACAGAGAGGAGTGCCGCGCTGCTGGAGGTGCCGTCTTTCAGAGAAGACATTGTCAGCTCAGACGGACGTGCGAGATCCCATGACATGACATGACGTGACCACGTTTGTGTCTGAACCAGTATCTGAAAACAGCTTGCAGTATGCGAGTTGGCTGCTGGGTTTTGATTCAAATACTCCAGAAGTTCACTCGGTCTGTCTACTGCATTTGCTGCTCACAATGTGGTCTCCTGTTCATTGGGGAACTGAAGTGTAGACTGGGTGACCGCTTCGCAGAACACCTGAGTTCTGATGTCAAAGACGATCCTGAGCTTCCAGTTGCCTGCCACTTCAACACAACTGTGGCCAACATCTGTGTCTCAGGCCTGCTGCCATGTCCCAGCGAAGCTCAGCCAAAGTTGGAAGAACAACAACTCATATTCTGCTTGGGAACTCTGCAGCCTTCTGGACTCGACACCGAGTTCAACAACTTTTTAGGGCTTGAGCTCTCCCATGTTTTTACCTGCAACCCACACACACCAGGCCTTGTTATCACAGGGTTTGCTATTACACGCAACCCGTTGTTAGCCGCTAACAGTCCTCATTAACAGCCATTCACTCTCCTAGCCAGATCATTATCCACTCCTTTGTCTGTCTAGCTGTTCTTCTTTCTCTTTGGGCTCTATCCCCACCTATCACTTACTCCTTAACCCCTCTGTCCACTCTGTCTTCTGCGTACAAACCAACATTTTCCTAGCTGCCATCAGTTCTGAGGAAGGGTCCCTCAACCCGAAAAGTTAACTCTGATTTCTCAGATGCTGTCTGACCTGCTGAACTTTTCCAGCAATTTCTGTTTTTCTTTCAAAAGTGTGACGCCAGCTGAAAACTGCTTTGTAACTAAGAATTTTACAGCCGCTGTGTAAATCTGTATAATTGGCCGGCCAGAGCTACAGATAAGTGGCAGAGGGTGGGACTAGCTGAGTTGCCATTGCAGAAAGCCGCTACAGACGTGAGGAGCTGAGTGGCCTCCTGCTGTGCCATAACTGTTCTGTGATTTGGCGAGTCTTTTTGCTCTTTACTGGAGTGTGTTCCATCGTTACTCAGTTCTTCACTTTTTGTTCTCCAAAAGCCACATTGACTAAGAAAAACAAGCAGGAGCCAGTGTCTCTGATAAAAAGAAGGAAGAAAAAACGAGAACAAAGTAGGTACACATCATTTATTCCTGAAGCCAATCTGTACTTTTCTTGCCCTCTTTCTACTGAACTCATCACTCCCCAGCAAACACCCAGAGTGCACTCTGGTTCTGGCTCAGAAAATGGCCGACAGTTGTCAGTGTAGCTTGTGCTACAGGCCCATGCACATCAAGAAGACAGTGAAAACGCTGTCAAACTGGCTGAGCCATCAATACTTGGAAGGAGACCATTCAGCCCATCATGCCAGCTCGTGGTACAACTGTGTCAACTGAAAGTGTATATCTGCGTGCTCTAGTTGTGATTTAAAAGCAGCACATGCAAGCTGGGAAAAGATTGGGGCACCAGCTCTTTTAGGGTATTGTGGAGTAACGGTAGTTCCCCTTCTTCTGGACCAGACGGCCCAGGTTCAAGCCCTAGCTGTCCTGGAGGTATGTCATAACTTGTCTGAACAGGTTAGGTTAAAATCTATGAGAACCAGATTCCACCTGGGAAAACCTGGACTGTGGATGGGAAATGTAGCCATCACGTATGCTGTAGGGATGAGTGTAAACAAACTGATGTGGAAGCCAGGCGAGATCTTGCTTCACCCTTTACCAGATGGACTGCTAATCCAGAATCCAACCTAATGTCGATAGGCTCAGTGTAGGTTTGATTCTCACCGTGGCAGATAGTAAAATTAATTTTTTTGAAAAAAAAGAATAATTTTTTAAAAATGGTTAGCCTAATGGCAACCATGTAACCACTGTCAATGGTTATAAAAACCCGTCTGGCTCTCTAATGTCCTTCAGGGAGGAGAAATCTGCCATTCTTAACTGCTCAGACCTCCACAGGAGTCCAGAGTCACAGCCATAGTGTTGACCCTCTGGGCAATTAGGGGTGTGTTTTTTTTTATTTTACCTATCTTTCTAATCAACCTGTTCAGAAATGTTATTACGCACCTCTGAGATAGGTGGGAGTTAAACCTGGAGCCCCCAGTCCAGGGGTACGGGCACTATACCGTTGTGCCACAAAAGCCCTCTGTTAGGAGTGGTTAACAAGTGCTAGGCTAACCAGCAACATCTGCATTATATCAACAAATGAAATAAAACTGTGTAGATATTAATTATTCCAAATGTTTAGGGGATTCATCAATTGCTAGTTCTAACCTCAAACAGGGACAACCTTGCTAAGGTTACTAAGCAATTTATTTGATTGCCCAGTATGTTCCTGTGGGAAGGCCTAGTGATTCTTCATCCTTCATGCTCCCTGCCAGTAGCGTGGTTATTCTCCTTTATACACAGTTTTAAGGAAGGCAGACCTCTCCCACTCCACCTGAAATTCTCAAGTTAGGGTTAGAAGTCTAAATTAGCTGCTGGTTCACCTCGGCAGGGCTTGCCAGCAACCCAAGAATGAAAAGTTCACAATTCATTGCTCCAAAAATAACCCTGCACCAGATTCAAATCCCAATTTGGACCAAGTTTACTGGTTGGAGGTAAGAGTGGATGTACAGTACAATTGGTCTCTGTGTCCCAGGGCTAGCATTTTAGCTGGGCTTTGAACTCTTGAGGACTGACCAGTGGTATTCCTCTTGCTAGCATGACCTGTGGGTATAGATGGGAGGAGTTGACAAAGTCCGGCTCTCGTGTAGGACCAGGGGATTTATTATTGCCACTAATTGTACATTCATTCATCAAAAAGCTGAGAAAACAGAGGAGGTGGAAGTATCTGCACGTCAGAAGATGAAGAAAAGACATCGGGAGATAAGTATGTAAATTGACACTTGCAGATATTTTGCTGATATGGTCTATCGGTGGTTAGCATTGCTGGCTCACAACGCCAGGGACCCGGGCTCAGTTCCCTTGGGATCTGTGGAGTTTGCACGTTCTCCCTGTGTCTGCATGGGTTTCCTCCCACAGTCCAAAGATGTGCAGGTTAGGTGGATTGGCCATGCTGAATTGTCCATTGTGTCCAGGTATGTGCAAGCCAGGTGGATTAGCCATGGGAAATGCAGGGTTACAGGGATAGGGTAGGGGGGTGTGTCTGGTTGAGATGCTCCTCGGATGGTCGATGGGCTAAATGGCCTGTTTCCAAACTGTAAGGATTTATGATTATATAAGTCATAGGAGCAGAAGTAGGCTATCTGCCCATCGGATCTGCTTTATCACCGGTGAGATCATGGTTGATCTCATAATCTTCAACTCCACTTCTCTGCTTTCTCCCCCATAACCCTTGGTATCCTTACTGATAATCTGTCTGTTTTAGTTTGAATATACTTAATGACCCAGCCTTGAGAGCCGTTTGTGATAAAGTATTCCCCAGACTGACTACCCTCAGAGAAGAAATTCCTCCTCATTTCTGTCCCATCTGGGAGACCCTACTCTGAGATGATGCCCTCTGGTCCTAGACTCTCCCACAAGGGGAAATAACCTCTCAGCATCTCCCCAGCCAAGTCCCCTAAGTACCTTTGTGTGTTTTAACAGCTTTGCCTCTCATTCTTCTAAACTCCAATGAGTACAAGCCAATCTACTCAATCTTTCCTCAACAAGACAGTCTGTCCATACCTGGTATCAGCCAAGTGAAACTTCTGTGAACTGTCTCCAAAGACAGTCTGTCTGTCCTTATATAAGGAGCCCAAAACTGTTCACTGCATTCCAGATGTGATCTAATTAGTGCATTGTATAGTTTTAGCAAGATATTCCTGTTTTTATATTCTGCTCCCTTTGAACAGAAGCCCAACATTCCATTTGCCTTGCCTCTCACCCGCTGAACTGAAGTATACTAGCTTTTTGTGATTCATGCAAAATCCCTCTGTGCTGTAGCTTTCTGCAGTCTTTCTCTATTTAAATAATATTCAGCTATTATATTCATCGTGTCAAAGGGCATAACCTGATATTTTCCACATTATACTCCATCTGCCAAGCTTTCATCCACTTGCTTAACTTGTTTATATCCCTCTGAAGACTGTGAGTGTCATTGTCATCACTTGCCTTCCCAGCCACCCTATTCACGAAGTTCTGAAATCTGAATGCTTGTACTTACGAGCAGGGAGTAACGTTAAAGATTTGAAATCCGCGCAGTTACAAGCAGCCACTTTATATTGTACTGCATCGTGTTTCGACTTGTGTACAAATTGACTTGGGAACGGGCTCAAGAACGGAACCCATTCACAACCAGAGGACTGCCCATATTTTTCTGTCACCTGCTAACTTGGCTATGGTACACTCACTGTACTATATGTAGACAGCATTGGAACAAGCTGCATGCATGTTACAATTCTCAGCTCGTTAACTCTCCATGGCTGCCAACTTCAGATACGCAAAGCAAAAGCTGATTTTATCAGAGTGGAAAAAGAGAGAGAGAAAGCGTTTGTCGCTGCTTCACATCGTGTACATTTCCAGTCATATTTCCCATTCGGTTTTACTCTTGTCAGCTCCCATGGTATAGTTGAAGACTCTAGCCAGCAGGTGACTCTGTATAGCCAGTTTCTCGGCCCTCCCATCCCAACTGCATTGATAGGGTCAAAGAGCAAGGAGGTTATGTTGGTTCTTCATAGGACACCAGTTTGTCCTCAGTTGGAGGGTTATACCCAATTCTGGGAACGTGGGGACTCCAGGAAGGATGTGTCAGCAGTGGAGGGACTAGAGAGGAGATTTATGAGAATGATTCCCGGGTGAGGACTTTGGGACTGTCATCCTCAGAGAAGCGAATTCTGAGAAGAGATTTAACAAAAGTATTCAAAATTGCAACACAGCTGGACGGTGTAAAAAGGGAGAAAATGTTTCCACTCACGAAAACGATCAACAACAAGAGGGGCACAGATTTGAAGGAGTTAGTGAAAGAAGCAAGAATGATATGAGAAGAATCTTTCTCACGCGGTGAGGGATTAGGGCCTGAAATGCGCTATCTGAGAGTGTGGTGTGGGCACAGTCCATCGAGGCTCTAAAAGGGGAGTGAGATAGTTGTCTGAAAAGGAACAATGGCCCAGGTGAGATGCTCTATTCAGGAGTCAGTGCAGGCATGATGGACTGAATGGCCTTGTTCTACAATGAAACAATTCTCTGATACTGTCATTATTTGTGTATATAGCTCATCTGTTCACAACACCTTGAGGAGGACTAATGTCGCATTGTTTATGTCATCATGCCACCAGGTTTCAATCTGTAAATATTCACGCCACACAAATGCCAGGCACTGGTCATCAACAATAATAGACAATCTAACCACTGTCCCTTGATATTCAATGGTGTTACCATAGTGAATCCCCCTCCCCAACTATCAATATCCTGAGGGTTATCATTGATCAGAAACTCAACAGGACTCACCACATAAATGCAGTGGCTACAAGAACAGATCAGAGGCTAGGAATCCTGCAGCAAGTAACTCCCCTCCTGACTCCCCACTTGCCTGGATGGGGGCAGCCCCAACAACACTCATGAAGCTTGACACCATCCAGAACAAAGCAGCCCGCTTGATTGGCACCACATCCACAAGCATCCACACCCTCCATCACTGATGCTCAGGAGCAGCAGTGTGTACTATCTGCAAGATGCACTTCGGAAATTTGCCAAAGATCCTCTGACAGCGCGTTCCAAACCCACGACCACTTCCATCTCAAAGGACAGGGGCAGCAGATGCACAGGAACACCACCACCTTCAAGTTCCCCTTCGAGCCTCCCTCACTGTTGCTGGGTCAAAATAGGGAATTCTCTCCCTAAGGGCATTGTGGACTGCAGCGGCTCAAGAAAGCAGTTCACCACCACCTTCTCCAGGGTAACTAGGGATGGGCAATTAATGCTGGCCAGCCTGCGGCGCCCACATCCCACAAATTAATAAAAAAAAAAAAATTATCCTGTAGAACACCCTTGCTCCTCTTCAAAATAATAACTGAAGGGTCTTTAATGTCTACCTAAGTGGGACCTTGGTGTAACAATTTAGCTAAAAGCCAGCATTTTCAAAACCACAGCATTCCCTCAATACCGCCATCAGCACTGTCAGCCTGAATATTTGTGCTCAAGCCACCAACGTGGGACCAGAGCTGTTCAAATGAGCATGATGACTTGTCAGATGGTTATTTGAACAGGAAGACTGTGCTGGATTGCGGAGAAAAGGTAGGAAAACGGCACTGACACTATCGTTGGAATTTATTTAGTTTCTTCCTCGGAAGCTGCTTCGACTGAGCAAGGTGGAGAAGTTGTGGAAGGCGCCACTGAAACCTCACTTCGCCAGCTGAAGAAACGGAAACGCAGAAAGTGTAAGTGGATAAACCTTCTTGTGATTTGATATTGCCTCTGGCTGACCCTCTTCAGACAGAGCGCTGGCTATCTTGCTAGGCAGGTCTCCAAGCTCAGTCAGTCAATTCATTGCCCTTAGGGAGACGTGTCACGGAATCATTGACATGTATAGCACGGAAACAGACGCTTCAGCCCAACTTGTCATGCCGACCAGATACCCTAAATGGATCTAGCCCCATTTGTCAGCTTTTGGCCCATATCCCTCTAAACCTTCCTATTCATGGACCCATCCAGATGCCTTTGAAATGTTGTAATTGTACCAGCCTCTACCACTTCCTCTGGCATCTCATTCCATAGAGGCACCACCCTCTGTATGAAAACAATATCCCATAGGTCCCTTTAATATCTTTACCCTCTCACCTATGCCATCTAGTTTTGGACTCCCCTACGCTGGGAAAAAAACCTTGGCTATTCACCCATCTATGCCCCTCAAGATTTTAAACACGGGTATAACGTCACCCCTCAGCCCCTGACGCTCCAGGGAAAATAGCCCCAGCCTATTCAGACTCTCCCTGTAGCTCAGACTGTCCAACCTTGGCAACATCCTTGTAACTCTTTCCTGAACCCTATCAAGTTTCACAACTTCTTTCCTACAGCAGGGAGACCAGAATTATATGCAGTATTTCAAAAGTGGCCTCACCAATGTCAAGTTAGAGAAAATGAAATCGTAGATTAATACAGCACAGAAGGTGGCTGTTCAGTCCGTTGATTCAGCCTTGACTCTATTGAACTCCAACCCAGATTATATCACTCCCCTTTTCCCATATCCCTGTAACATATCTTCTTTCAAATAGTTATCCAATTCTCTTCTGAACGTTGCTATTGAATCCTCTCTTCACAGCTCTACCAGCTGGATCATTCCAAATTTCAGCTGCTCAGTGCATTACAAAGTTTCGCCTCCCATCACTTCTGTCTCTTTTCAAATCCACTTAAAGGTACTCTGGTTATCGCCTCTTCAGTTATTGCAAACAGTTTCTTCTAATTTTTATCTGCTAACATATATTCTTAGCCTTCTCCCCAATCTAAGCAAGATATCCTCCGACCCCCAGCTGCTTTAGTGTGTTAACACAGTGTGGAGGTGGGGGAACATGGCAGATCAGGCAGCATCAGAGGAGCAGGACGTTTCAGGTCGGGACCCTTCATCAGGACTGGTGTTGAAGGGTCCCGACCTGAAACGTCGAAATTCCTGCTCCTCTGATGCTGCCTGACCTGTGTTCCTCCAGTTCCACACTGTGTTGACTCTGACTTCAGCATCTGCAGTCCTTGCTATCTACTTTAGTGTGTTACATCTTTATTTTTCAGCGCATTGTGTACAGGACATCAGTCAGGCCACTTTTGGAATATTGTGTTCAGTTCTGGTCTCCCTGCTATAGGAACGATGTTGTTGAACTTGACAGGGTTCAGAAAAGATTTACAAGCATGTTACCAGGGTTGGAGGGTTTGAGCTATAGGGAGAGGCTGAATAGGCTGGGGCTATTTTCCCTGGAGCGTTGGAGGCTGAGGGGTGATCTTATACTGGTGTTTAAAATCATGAGGGGCATGGATGGGGTGAATAGCCAAGGTCTTTCCCAAGGTAGGGGAATCCAAAATTAGGGGGCATAGATTTAAGGTGAGAAAGGGAAGATTTAAAAGGGAGGCAAAGGACAATATTTTCATCCAGAGGGTGGTGCGTGTATGGAATGAGTTGCCAGAGGGAAGTGGTGGAGCATGTACAACAACAACATTTAAAAGGCATCTGGATGGGTACATGAATAGGACTGATTTAGAGGGATATGGGCCAAAGGCTGGCCAAAGGCACTGGATGAAATTAGGATATCGGGGATATGTTGGACTGAAGGGCCTGTTTCCGTGCTGTACAACTCTACGACTATGTATAATTGCTCATCCCTGGTGACACTCTCCTGAATCTCCTCTGCACCCTCTCCAAAGCCGCCATTACAAAGTTTTGCCTCTCATTGTTTCTGGCTGTTTTCCGAATCCACTTAAAGTTGCCTTAACAAAAGTGGGGTACACCTTGTGCACACATAGCCTTGACCAAGATAGTACAGCACCAAAGGAAGCCATTCAGCCCATCGTGTCTGCGCGGGTGAGCCACTTCATAGTTTTTAACTACGCCAGGTTCCTGGCAGTATTATTTTCTTACACTGGTGTGAAGGAAACTGGGTAACACACTGGCTCAGTGATTAGTGCTGCTGCCTCACAGTGTCAGGGGCCCGGGTTCGGTTCCAGCCTTGGGCACCGGTCTGTGTGGAGTTTGCATATTCTCCACGCGTCTGCGTGGGTTTCCTCCCACAGTCCAAAGATGTGCAGGTTAAGGTAGATTGGCCATGCTAAATTGCCCCGTGGTGTCCAGGGATGTGGATTAGCCATGGGAAATGCAGGGTTACAGGCATAGGATAAGGGAGTGGGTCTGGATAGGATGCTCTTCAGAGGGTCGGTGTGGACCTGATGGACTGAATGGCCTGCTTCAGCACTGTAGGGATTCTGTGAAAGTTACAGGATGAACCCTTGACGGATTTGAAAAAGGCACAAACAGAACTGAAGGGGCCAGGTGGGAGATTTTTACCAGGCGCAGAATGAGGCAGTAAGAAGCCAGGACCAGTGACAAAGGTTGGGGTGGAAGTGCAGGAAGAGGCACCAGTACTGTGGGCTAGAGTGCACCTTGCTGAGCACAACTATTGTCAGAAAACTCATTGCTTTGTTCTCAAAAAGCAGCTTTAAGTGAGGAAAGCAAAGGTGACAAGCTGGAGGACAAGGTGTCGACGAAGGAAAAGAAGAAAAGTACAGAAAAACGTAAGTAAATAGTTTATTCCTGCTCAGTCACTTTATCGCCTGTTTGTTCAATCATATACTTATTCACATACCACCATGACTTGGAACAACGTTGGCCATGCCCTTACTGTGTCACTGGGTCAAAAGCCTGGAATTCCCTCCAACAGCATTGTGGGTATCCACACAAATTTCAACACTTCAATACGGCAATGCACCAGAAGATTTTTAAGACTAATCATGAGATGGGCAAGACAAGCGATACCCACATGCTAGGAACGAATCCCAAGAAACGCTAATAGGAAGTGTGACATTAGCTAGGCCAGCATTTATAGCTCATCGCTACGTACCTTTGAAATGATGGCTTCGACTGCTGAAGTCCATGTGATATAGATACACCCACAGTGTTATTAGGGAGGAAGCTCTAGGATTTTTTTCTATTCATTTGTGGGATGTGGACATCGCTGGCTGGCCAGCATTTATTGCCCATCCCTTGATGCCCATCCCTTGATGCCCTTGAAGAGACTTTGTAGCGATTGGTACAACTGAATGGCTCGCTGGACCATTTCAGAGGGTAGATGTTAGTGTGTTCGCCGAGCTGGGAGGTTTGATAGCAGACGTTTTGTCCCCTTACTAGGTGACAGCCTCAGTTCTGTGGAGCCTCCTGTGAAGCGCTGTTGTCTTGTGCCAGTTCGAATTTATATGGTCAGGTTTTTTTGCTGCTTCCAGTAGGTGCCAGTTCTGGATGTGCGTTATAATGGTCGGTATATCGGGTCTAATTCAATGTGTTTGTGTATGAAGCCCGCAGATGAATGCCAAGCTGCCAAGAATTCCCTGGCTGTCCTCTGTTTGGCTTGTCCTATGATAGTAGTATTGTCCAAGTCGAACACCAGCTAGCAACTAAACAACACAACCAAATGTCCTTGGTTTCAATATTCACAGACCAGAAAAACCATATTTTCAACTCGGACAACACTACTATCATAGAACAAGCCAAACAGAGGACAGCCAGGGAATTCTTGGAGACTTGGCATTCATCTGCGGACTCCATCCACAAACACATTGAATTAGACCCGATACACCGACCATTACAATGGACAACTGGAGCCAGCACCTACCGGAAACCAGGCCATATAAATTCGAACCGGCACACGGCGACAACCTTTCACAGGAGGCTCCACACCACTGAGGATGTCACCTAGTAAGGGGACGAAACGTCTGCTATCAAACCTCCCAGCTCCGCAAACACACCAACATCTACAACCAGCACCCGAGCTACAAATCTTCACTCAAACCCTCAACATTTCAGAGGGCAATTGGGAGTCAAATCACATTAGCTGTGGGCCTGGAGTCATGTGTTTCCAGACCAGGTGAGGATGGCAGTTTCCTTCCCTGAAGGACGTTAGTGAACCAGATGGGTTTTTCCAACAATTGATAATGGTCTCGTGGCATTCAGCAGTTTTTTTTTTATTGAATTCAGATTCCACCATCTGTCGTGGCGGGATTCCAGCCCGGGTCCCTAGAACATTTACTGAGTTTCTGGAATAATAACTGGTGATAATACCAGTAAACCATCCCTATTTGACCCAGCAACAGTGAAGAAAGAGCTGATGTAGTCAGGATGGTGGCAGCTTGGAGTGGTCCTGTCAGACCCATTCCATTGTTGCTGTCTGCATAGCCCTGCAAGTTCATTATTTTCAAGTGCCCATCCAATTTCCTTTTGAAATCATTCATTGTCTCTGACTCCACCCAACCTCCTGGATGTTGAGTTCCAGCTTAATACCATTTGCTGCATGGGGAGAAAGAAAAACTTGCCAAGCTTCCTACAAAAAAATGTAAATAAGAGCAGGAGCAGGCCTTTTGCTATGACAGTAGCTGCTCATCCAGTTCAGTCCCCTGTTCCCACTTTCACCCCATATCTTCTGATCCTTTTTGTCCTAACAACTGTATCTAACTCTTTGAAAACATTCAGTGTTTTGGCCTCGGCCGCTTTCTGTGGCAGAGAATTCCACTCCTGGTTCTTGACTCCCCGGTCATCAGGAACAAACCTCGATAATACCAAATCAATGTCAATATGTCCTTTTCCCCTTTGATATCCTTTCTAAAGTACTGGGCTCAGAATTGAGACACCGTACTCTCTGAGGATTAGCCAGCAGGATTTGTACTCCATTACTTTTGTAAAAGCTGGGATCACAAATGCTTCTTTTTTTTTGATAGCCTAATCAACTTGCGGTGTCTGGTAGAGAAAAAGGGAGAATTATAGGAGAGGGATTTGACTGGATCCCAATTGTTAGAATGTGGGGGCCCCTGACATTGCTCACTGCCTGACTGCTCAGTAACACTACTGCTATCAAACCCTTTCTTTTTTCCTGAAAAGCTGCTTTTAGTGAAGGAACAGAAGGGAACGCTGCTTCTCTGCCTCAGAAGAAGAAGAAAAAGAAAAAGAAGAAAAGTCAGGAGAAAGGTGAGAAAGCGCTTTTCAAAACTTGAAATCGGGTCTGCTTCCACCTTTTCAATGACTTCCATTGTTCCTTTGAGCAGGAGCAGCTCGGTGGCTCAATGGTTATCACTGCTGCCTCACAGCACCAGAGAGCCAGGTTCAATTCCACCCGTGGGCGACTGTGTGGAGTTTGTACGTTCTCCCCATTTCTGCGTGGAATTTCCTCCCGATGCTCCGGTTTCACCCTGCAGTCCAAAGACGTGCAGGTTAGGGTGGATTGGCCATGCTAAATTTCCCAGTAGTGTGCCAGGGATGTGTAGGTTAGGTGGATTAGCCGTGGGAAATTCAGGGTTACGGGGATGGGATGGTGACGCAATGAGCCGAATGGCCAGCTCCCACACTGTGGGGATTCTATGTTGAAAGATCTAGATGGGGAATCAAGACATTACTGAGGGAGAACTGCACTGTCAGAGCTGCTCCTTTTTGGGTGAGACTGAATCAAGGGCTTCATCTGTCCCCACCATGTGGATATAAAGATCCTTTGGTACTATTTCAAAGAAGAGCAGATGATTGCTTGCTAGCATCCTGGTCCAATGGCTATCCCTAGACCCAACAACTAGAAGCAGACCTTTTGGTTAATAACACATTTTGGTATTTGTAGCTCAAATACCACAACAGTGACCACACTTAAAAATGACATCACAGCTGTAAACCACTTTGGGATATCCTCTTTCAATGAAAGGCACCATATAAAGGTAACCCTTTCCTTTTAAATAACCAAGTTATGTGGCTCAGTGGTTAGCACTACTGCCTCACAGCACCGGGGACCTGGGTTCAATTCCACCCGCAGGCGACTGTCTGTGTGGAGTTTGCACGTTCTCCCCGTGTCTGCGTGGGTTTCCTCCCACAGTCCAAAGATGTGCAGGCTAGGTGAAATGGCCGTGCTAAATTGCCCATGGTGTTCAGGGATGTGTAGATTAGGTGGGTTACAGGGGGATGGGTCTGGGTCTGGGTGGGATGCTCTGCGGTTCGGTGTGGACTTGTTGGGCTGAAGGGCCTGTTTCCACACTGTAGGGATTCTATGATTCTAAATTACCCATAGTGTCCAGGGATGTGCAGGCTTGGTGGATTAGCTATGGGAAATGCAGAGTTACAGGGATGGAGTAGCAGATGGGCCTGGGTAGGATGCTGTTTGAGAATGAATGTGAACTCGATGGGCTGAATGGCCTGCTTCCACACTGTAGGGGTTCTATGAAGTGCATGTGATATTACTGGTAATCAGCTGTTGCACACTTCACATACACACGCACGCGCACACGCACACTCTCAGAAATTGCAGCATAGTGATTAATTTTAGAATTAGGTTTTATTATCATGTACTCAAATGTAGGAATACAGGAGTACAGTGAAGAGTGTACAAAGTCACCATTCATCTTGGTTACACACTTGGTTACAAAACTGAAATTTTTAAAAAAAGCAGAAATAAAAGAAACAAAGCCAAAATGAATGAAAAAAAGTCCAGATATTAAAGTGCAGGGGACAATTTCAAAGTTTGCAGATGAAAGGAAACTTGTAACGAACAAAAACAAAAATTGCAGGAGAAACTGAACAGTCCCAGCAGTATCCACAGAAACAGAGTCAACGTCTTGAGTCTGATCAAGCTGTTGGATTAGCAGCACAGTGACCTTGAGTTTGAACCTGATCGCAGCAAGCTAACATCAATTTGTCAAATTCTTTTTGGAAACTCATCTCTTTCACTAAAGCATTTCCCAGTGCAACTCAGTTTGACCTACATGTCCCATGCTCCCTGCTTTACCATGGAGAATATTGGGGGAAAAAGCTGTCTTTTTGTGTTAACTACATTACCAGAGCAAGATTTAAGAAAAAGGCTATGGAAAGAAAGGTTTTTGGATATTGAGAAATAGTGGGTAAATTGAGTTGTGATACAGAAGTGGGGACATTCTTCTATGATTACACAATGTCCAGTACCATTTGCAGCTTCTCAGACACTGAACTTGTCCATGTTTAAATGCAACAAGATATGTAAAAAGACATTTAACAAGAAAGTATCCAGGTTTGAGCTGGCGAATGCCACACGAATGCCAGGCAGTGACCATCACCAATAAGAGACAATCTAACCACTGCCCCTTGACATTCAATGGCGTTACCATCACTGAATCCCCCCACTATCAACATCCTGGGGGTTACCATTAATAAGAAACTCAACTCGACTCTCCGCATAAATACACTGGCTACAAGAGTAGGTCAGAGGCTAGGAATACTGCAGAAAGTAACTCACCTCCTGACTCCCCAAAGCCTGCCCACTATCTACAAGGCACAAGCCAGGAGTGTGATGGAATGCTCCCCACTTGCCTGGATGGGTGCAGCTCCAACACTGTCCAGGCCAAAACAGCCTACTTAATTGGCTCTACATCCACAGGCATCCACTCCCTCTACCGCCAACGCTCAGTAGCAGCAATATGTGCCATCTACAGGATGTGCTGCAGAAATTCACCAAAGATCCTTAGATAGAACCTTCCAAACCCATGACCACTTCCATCTAGAAGGGCAATGGCAGCAGATACATGGGAATACCATCCCCTGCAAGTTTCCCTCCGAGCCACTCACCATCATAATGTCACTAAGGTGTCGCAGCCACCCCTAAAACACCATGAGCAATGCACTGGTATGTTTATAAAGAAAGGCTTGCCGGTCTGTTGCCACAAAACATTTCTTTGGTCTCCTTCAGAAGTTTTCTTAAGTGACAAGCGAGCAGAGGAGGAAGAGGAGGAGGAGAAGGTTGCCTCTGTGCTGCAAAAGAAAAAGAAGAAAAGTAAGGAAAAACGTAAGTGGATTAAACATTTTCTAACAACATATGTCCTCATTCTGTCTGTCTGATGCCATGACCTGTCCCATTGGCAAGGAGACCATCAAGTACAGGGTTCCTAGACTCTACCACTGCACTTCTCTTGCCATTCTACGTTGTTCAGCCTGGTTGCCCGATATTATGTTCTTACGTTATTACATTCATCTTTTCTTTCTCAAAGCGGCTTTAAGTGAGAAAACAATGGTGGAGGAGCACACTGCCTGTGCAAAGAAGACGAAACGTAAAAAGGCACAAGAGAAAAGTATGTAAAATAAGACATTATTAAAGTTAACACAAACAAAGAAATGCAGATGCTGAAGATCTGAAACAAAAACAGAAATTGCAGGAGCAACTCAGCTGATCTGGCAGCATCTGTGAAGAGAATACAGAGTTAATGTTTTGAGTCCAGTGACCCTTCTTCAGAACATGCTCTCCACAGATGCGGCCAAACCTGCTGAATCTCTCCAGCGATTTCTGTTTATTGCATTTCGAAATTGTTTTTCTCCCTCTTTTGGCTGCTATACACAGAAACACTTTGTCGTACAGTGGATTGCTCACCTTGGAGCAAAGGTGGTGTACAAGGTTATATTTGATTTTATTATTGTCATATGTACCTAGGTACAGTGAAAATTTTTGTTTTGTGTGCAGTACAGGCAGACCATACCATACCAAGTGCATTAGGGTAATAGAACAGAACGAGGAATACAGTGCACAGAAGGTGCACAAAGAGCGAGGTAGGCATTAAATTTAAAATTTGAGAGGTCCATTCAGAAATCCAATAACTGCAGGGGAGAGGCTGTTCTTGAATCTATTTGTAAGTGGATACAAACTTTTATATCTGCCTGATGGAAGAGGTTTGAAGAGATTATAACCGGGGTCTGAGCGGTCTTTGATGTTGGTTGCTTTCCCAACGCAACGGGAAGATGGAGTCAATGGATGGAAGATTGGCTTGTGTGATGGCATGATAACAGACTTCGAAGGAGCAAGTCTTCCCATTAAGGGTCTGAGTTATAAAAACAGTCTGGGACTTTCTTCACCAGAGCGTAGGAGGTTGAGAGGTGACTTTACAGAAGTTTATAAAATCATGAGGGGTGTAGATAAGGTGATTAGCAATGGTCTTTTCCCCAGGTTGGGGGAGTTCAAAACTAGGGGGCATATATTTAAGGTGAGAGGAAAAAGTTTTAAAAAAAGGTATGAGGGGCAACTTTTTTACAGAGTGGATGTGTGGAATAAATTTCCAGATGAAGTGATGGATGTAGGTGCAGTTACAACATTTTAAAAGATATTTGAATAAGTTCATAAATAGTAAACGTTTGGAGAGAAATGTGCCAGGAGCAGGCAGGTGGGACCAATTTAGTTTGGGAACATGGTCGGCACGGACTGGTTGGACAAAGGGTCTGTTTTCATGCTATAAGACTCTGTAACTGATGGTATCAGGATGAGGGGACACAAATTTAAGGTTTCAGACTAGAGATTTAGGGATGCTAAGATGAAGCTGTTTTAAGGAGCAATTAGTAAGAACTTAGGACATGTTACCCATGAGGGTGTTAGAAGCAGAGACCATCAGTGATTCCAAAGGGAAATTAGATGGGCACTCAAAGGGAATAAACTTTCAGGGCTACAGGTATTGAGCAGGAGAATGGGACTGACCAGATTGCTCCACAGGGAGCTGGCATGGACTCAATGGGCCAAATTATCACTGCCTCAGCTGTAAATGACTCCATGCTCCAGCACGGAAGGAGGTCATTCAGCCCCTCGTTCTTGGGTGACCTCTTTGAAAGAGTTCTCAAACAGCTCCCACTTCCCTCTCCCCTTGTTCTTTCCCCATAGCTCCATAAATGTTTTCCCCTTAAAGCATGTTGAATAACTGAAAACAAGCACTTTTCAGATCACGAAAACCCCAAAGTTAAAAAGGATAAAACCATTTCTCATGTTGCCTCTGGTTTTGTTTGCAAAACGACCTGTATAAACAAAAAAATGCCTGAGATGAAATATTGTCTTGTTTTATACTCCCAAGGGCCGTGTCAGGGACCTTTGGGCTTGTGTTTTCATCTCTCACGTTGTCCAGCCTGGCCTTCCAAGTTGTAGATCCCTGCAACTCCCTAGTGCCAGTATCGACTTCATCAGGAGTAATGGGTACAGGTTGCACAGCTTGACTTGTGCTACCTCAAATTTGTAATGATCTGACCCGTCTTGGAGCTCCTTCCACCCCAAGTGAAATAACTGGCTCTGTGTCTGTGTCTGTGTCTGTGTCTGTGACAGTGTACCATCCAGCAATACCGAGCCCAGAAGCCACTCGATCTTGAGGACTCCCGCTCCCCCCCCCCCCGCCCCCCCGCCCCCCCCCCCCCCCCAAAAAAAATTCCTGTGGTGTTTGCAAAGCCCCAGGTTTTGACCATGTTTAGAATGATAAAGCGCTCTATTGAGTTAGAAAGAAACCAACTTTCTTTGGGGAATCGACAACGTGAGGTCCTTCCACTAATCGCGTTCCCTGTTCTCACAGCTTCCTGGTGTCTCTACATCCAGAAGTTGAGGTCCCAGAATACACCATGTGAGCTGAAGACGGCCATTGGCGATTTTCTAAGCGAGAGGTCGGTTCCCTTCAAAGAGATTCAACTGGATCCTGACAGGTATGGGCTTGAGTTTCTCTCTTGATGATAGGCTTCATATCCAACCGGGACATTGGGTCAATTCTGGGGAATGATGTGCTTTTTCTTTCCCAACTCTAGACATTCAGTGTCAGCAGCAAAAACTCCGAGACTACGTAGACTGCGGGTTAGATGCAGAGTAAAGCTCCCTCTCGAAAATTGTTGCCATCAAACACACCCAGGACAGGGACAGCACTCGGTTAGGTATAGAGTAAAGCTTCCTCTACACTGTCCCCATTAAACACTCCCAGGACAAGGACAGCACAGGGTTAAATACAGAGTAAAGCTCTTTCTACACATCCCCGTTAAATATCCCCAGGATAAATATAGCACATGGTTGGGTACAGAGTAAAGCTCCTTCCACACTGTCTCCATCAAACACTCCAAGGGCAATGTACAAAGTGAAGCTGCTTTTCACTGCAGTATCAGATCATCTCAAATCAGGTCCAGAGTGGAAAGAGATGCAGTTAATTTCCCTAACTTCCTGCCACAATACAACAATAAGCCCGCAGTGGCTTCTCTGAATCTTGTGGTAAGACTTGCGTTTGCACACTACAAACGTAGCTTTCTAACATCCCAACCCTTCACATACACTGTGGTGAATTAAGTTATGAAGAGCAGATGTTACGATGTCTGGAACTGCAGTGGTTATTGTGTGAACTGAAAGATCCCATAAACGTTCGAGTGGAGGGAGGATGATGTTGCACACCGTAGAGAAGCATTAGCAGGAGAAAGAGTCTTCAGCATCCACCTGAACCAGTGGAAATGGCACTCAGGACCTGGGTTTAAATGTCTCAACCAACAGACTGCTATTATCAGTGCTGCAGAACTCCTTCAGTACTCGGTCTGGATTGTTGTGTGGGGTTGGAACACACAATATCCTCACCAGAAGCGAAACTGCCGATAAGACACATCCCTTGGAAGCTCCCTTCAGTTGGGACTCTCATGACAGTGCCATAAGTGTAGATTCATGTATCAAAGTCCACAATAGGAAAGGAGACAATTTTTGCCAACCCAGAAGTCTTCCTTGAAAGGTACCACCGCTCAGCTCTGTCTTAATGCACTAAATATTTTTGCACCTTCTCCAGCACCTCTACATCGATTTGTAAATTATACACACCAGAATGTTCATAGTTAAAGCATCTGTGCAGTTTAACATGGTTTCTCTGCTTTTCGATTCCTTTAGAAATGAAGCCCAATGCTCTGCTTTCTTAGACCCACCGTAACCTGTGCCACTGTTTTGAGTGACTGTGTACTTGTGTAAAAGTCAGATTTATTGACAAAATTTGACCGATTCGTTGCCTGGCCCACTTCTAGCTGCTCCGCTCGTGTTGAACTGAACCGTGAGGGCGACCTGAATGAAGCTGTGCAGCTTGACACTTGCAAAATTCTCGGACAAACGGCAAAATTAAGCAAGGTGGAGAAACTGGGAGCTCTGGACGGCAGTGAGTCAGTCTGTTTTTTGCAGTTCCTTCAGTTCTCGATGCTCTGCTGAAAGGCATTGATTCGTCCTGGCGTAGGAATGTCAAAGGGGAGTGGGCCTCCAGATATCAGCAAAGGAACCAGGCTCCATGCTGAGCCTGAACAATACATGTTGCAATGCTGAGTAACAGGGATCCTACAATGGAGCTCCAGGTCCCTTCCTTTACCAACATGTGAAGGTTTTCCAGCCAGAGAGTATGCCTCATTTCTACGGAAATGTGAAAGAAGGCATTTGGTATGCTTGTCTTTATGGATCAGTGCATTGAATATAGGAGTTGGAATGTCGTGATGTGGCTGTGCAGGACATTAGTAAGGCCACTTTTAGAACACTGTGTTCAATTCTGGTCTCCCTGCTTTAAGAAAGATGTTGTTAAACTTGAAAGGGTGTGGAAAAGATTTACAAGGATGTCGCCAGGTTTGAGCAATAGGGAGAGGCCTAATAGGCTGGAGCTATTTTCACTGGAGTATTGGAGGCTGAGGGGTGGCCTTATGGAGATTGATAAAGTCATGAGGGGCAGGGATAGGGTGAATAGCCAAGGTCTTTTTCCTAGGGTAGGGGAGTCCAAAAATAGAGGACACAGGTTTAAGGTGAGAAGGGAAAGATTTAAAAGGGGCCTAAGGGGCAACTTTTTAATGCAGAGAGTGGGGCAACATTTTCATGCAGAACTGCCAGAGGAAGTGGTGGAGGCTGGTACAATGACAACATTTAAAAGGCATCTGGATGGATAGATGAATAACAAGCGTTCAAGGGGGATATGGGCCAAATGCTGGCAATGGGACTAGATTAATTTAGGATATCTGGTCAGCATGAACAAGTTGGGCCAAAGGGTCTGTTTCCATGCTGTATGACTCTATGGACTTTACCTGATCACAAGGGGCAGTTCTGTCGCAGTAATTTTATTGGAATAGTAAATCGGAGACCTCAACTAGTGCTCTGGTCATAAGTTCAAATCCCACCAAGGCATCCAACCTCTTGATTATCAAGGACTGATCGTGAAACTACAAGATTGTCGCAGAAATGTTTGTTAAAAAGTTCACGTAATGGTGGGCATCACTGGCCAGGCCAGCATTTATTCCCCATCCCTAATTGCCCAGAGGGCAGTTAAGAGTCAACTACAGGTAAGGATGGCAGTTTCCTTCCCTAAAGGGCATTAGTGAACCAGATGGGTTTTTCCAACAATCAATCATGGATTCCTGGTCATCATTGGACTCTTAATTCCAGATTTTTATTGAATTCAAATTCCACCATCTACCATGTCATTTTGGAAACCAGGTCTCTGGGTTAATAGTCTAACAATAATACCACTAGGCCATCACCTCTCCTCCTTCATGTCCTTTGCGAGGGATATCTGTCTTCCTTACCTGGTCTAGCCTGTATGTGACTCCAGACCTATTGCAATATGGTTGACTCTGAACTGCCTCAGGAATGGTCTAATAAGCCACTGAATTGTATCAGACCATGTCAGGTAGAAAAGCAGTGTGGATGTACCCACATCATGCAGACTGCAGTGCTTTAAGAACGTAGCTCAGAGCCACCTTCCGCAGGGCAACAAATACTGTCCTTGTCAATCCTCCCAAGAATGAATGTGAAAAAGAAAATAATGTTAAGGTTGCAATTTTTTGCCCTGTTTGAGTAGCTGAAGTGAGTGTGAGACTCTTAGAAGATGCAACTGGGGAATATCCTTTGGAATCCTCCTGTTGCTGTAAAGGGAAGGAATTCGAGGATTCTGACCCAGCAACAGTGAAGGAACAGCGATATACTTCCAAGTCAGGATGGTGCGTAGCTTGGAAGGGAGCTTGCAATTTTGTCACTGCAAGTTTTGGATTCCCCTACCCTGGGGAAAAGACCTTGGCTATTCATCTTATCTGTGCCCCTCATGATTTTATAAACCTCCATAAGGTTGCTGCAGAGCATCTCATAGATTGTACACACTGCTGTCACGGAGTGTCAGAAGTGGAAGGAGTGAATGTTTTAGGTGCTGGATGGGTGTCAATCAAGTGGGATAACGTCCTGCACTACCAGAGGGTGCGTAAATCTCCACTGTTGTAAATCTATTCCTATCATTTTGCAGTGAAATGAAACTATTAGTGAACAGGAGGGTGACTTGGAACAAGGAACTTAATAGAAATATGCAGGATTACGGGGAGGATGTTACTATGTCTCTTTTGGAAAGCCAGTGTAGACATGGTCAGCCAAATGGCCTCCTTCCATGCTGGAACCATTTTCTGACTCTGCTGTCTCAATGTGTGGTTTGGTATCAGTTTTTTTTTCAAAAAAAATGCTCTTGGAGTCATACAGCACGTAAACAGACCCTTTGGGCCAACTCATCCATACTGACCAGGTTTCCTAAACTGAACAAGTCTCATTTGCCTGCATTTGGCCCATATCCCTCTAAACCCTTCGTATTTGTGTACCCATCCAGATCCCTTTTAAATGCTGTAATTGTACCATCCTCCACCACTTCCTCTAGCAGCTCGTGCCACACACACAACAGCCTCTGTGTGAAAAAGTTGCTCCTTAGATCCCTTTTAAATCTTTCCCCTCTCACCTTAAACCTATGCCCTCCAGTTTTGGGCTCCCGTAACCTGGAGGAAAGACCTTGACTAATCACCCTATCTATACCCCTCATGATTTTATAAACTTCCCTGAGGTCACCCCTCAGCCTCCTATGCTCCAGAGGAAAATGTCTCAGCCTTTCCTTATAACTCAAATCCTTCAGTCTTGGTAACATCCTTGTAAATCTTTTTTGCACCCTTCCCAGTTTAATAACATCCTTCCTATAGCAGGGCAACCAGAATTGCACACTGTATTCGAAATGTGGCCTCACCAATATCCTGTACAGCCAGAACATGACACCTCAACTCCTGTACTCACTGCTCTGACCGATGAAGGTAAACACGCCAAACACTGTCTTGTGAAGCATGTTGAGAAGTTTGACTACATGAAAGGTGCTATTCAAATATGCACAGCTGAAAGGAAAGCTGGGGAGATGTTGACGAAGAAGACAAATATGGAAAAGAACGGGAGCAGGCTAAAAAGGACAGATACTCACGCAAATTAAAGCAGCTTTTTGTGGGTCTGGAGTCTCATGGAGGCCAGACCAGGTAAAGATGACAGATTTCCTTCGCTGAATGTGATTAGTGAACCAGATGGATTTCATCATGTGTATTTGCTTTGTAGGAATTGATTCTAGGACACTCCATGTGAAAACCCTTCCAAGTGAAGTCTGCGCAAAGGACCTTAAACATTTATTTGAGAGAGTCGCTGGTGTATGGATATGTCAGAACGTTGACAAAAGGTACCTAGTCAGCTCGTGATTGGATTTGAAACACATGGCCTGAACGAGTGGCAAATGAGTGGCAATTCCTTTCTGAAAAGAATTGGATAGATTTTTGAAAAGGTATCGATTGAAAGAATCATACAGAAACAAATAAAGGGAGCAGGTTAATGGGGTACCTCTGTCAAAGAGTATGAGTAAGGTGGGCCGAATAGCTATTGTGTAATTCACATCTCAGCCATGCAGACCCCCTCCACAAAAACATCTCAATTGGAAGGAGATAGCAGGAACTGCAGTTGCTGGAGAGTCTGAGATAACCAGGTGTAGAGCTGGATGAACACAGCAGACCAAGCAGCATCAGAGGAGCAGGAAAGCTGACGTTTCGGGTCTAGGCCTTGTTATCTCAATTCGAAGGAGTTCAGTTCTCACAACGCCCTGGAAATACCTTCAAAACTTTTCTCTGCTTAATTGGTGGAGACTGCAACATTTAATGTGGGAGATTCCACATGGGGCGGGGGGGTGGTGTGAATCAGTGTTTAATCATGAGGGGCCAGTCATTTAAGACAGGAATGAATCATAGAATCTGTACAGTGTGGAAGCAGGCCATTTGGCCCATCGGGTCCACACCCACCCTCCGAAGAGCACCAAACCCAGCCCCATCCTGTTCCTGTAACCCTGCATTTCCCATGGCCTAACCCACCTAGCCTGCACATCCCTGGACACTATGGGGTAATCTAGCATGGCCAGTCCATCTAACCTGCACATCTTTGGACTGTGGGAGGAAACCCATGCAGACACAGGGAGAACGTGCAAACCCCACACAGACAGTCGCCCAAGGGCGGAATCAAACCTGGGTCCCTGGTGCCGTGAGGCAGCAGTACTAGCCACTGAGCCACTGTGCCACCTGGCATGATGAGGGGACTTTATTTCCCTTTGAGGGTCAGAAATCTTTGGAACTGCCTTCCTGAAAAGGCGATGGAAGCAGAGGTGGATAGATTCCTGATCACCGAGGGGCGGTGAAAGGTTATGAGGGTTGGACGGGGTGGGTAGGAATTTGGATTAATCAGATCAGCCGCAGTTGGCAAGGCAATAAAAGTGTCAAGCAATTTCAACCTATGGTCAGTAAGTGGCTTAGCTTTAAATTCATTATTCTTAAAACTGTGAACAATGGCACAGAAGATCTACCAATATAATGTGTTAAAATGTAACTGAGTGCATCATTGTCTTGTTGTTTTTGGCCAGGTTTGCTTTTGTCGTGTTTGAGACAGAAGAAGACGCAGCAAATGCGCTAAGTAACAGTGAAATAGAATGCAGAGGAAACCTACTCCGACTACAGCGTGCATGTCTGACGAAACAAAGTATGTCTGTTAATAAACGTGTGGTCCAGTCATAGAGTCAAAGAAGTCTACAGCATGGAAACAGGCCCTTTGGCCCAACTTGTCCATGCTGCCCAGTTTTCACAATTAAACTAATCCCATTTGTCTTTGTTTGGTCAATATCCCTCCATACCCATCCCACCCATGTCCCTGTGTAAATGTCTCTTAAATGACAACATTGTACTCACTTGCCCCACTACTTTTGGCAGCCCATTCCAGACACTCATCACCCTCTGTGTGAAACAAATTGCCCCTTTGGACCCTTTTGTATCTCTCCCCTCTCACCTTAAATCCTAAGGTTTTAGACTCTCCTACTATAGGGACAAGCTGTTGGCTATCATCTACCTTATCAATGCCTCTCATGATTTTATTGACCTAATCAGTCTGCTACATTCCAGTGAAAAGAGTCCCAGCCTATGTAACCTCTGCTTATAACTCAAACCTTGCAGTCCAGTTGGCACCCTGGTAAATCTTTTCTGCACTCTTTCTAGCTTAATAACATACTCTCAATAGTCAGTCCACCAGATCATTTCCATTAAAGGTGCCCACAGCAGCTTCCTTCACCACTGACCCCATGCCATGTGTTTGTCACTCCATGTGAATCTGTCCCTGGCTTCAAGCCCCATTTGTTGTTTGTTAATTAAGACCCATATTACCTTCCACCAGTTTAACTCAATGTACACAGAATGCACGCTTGGGTTTCTCCACTCAATCCTCAGAACCAAGAATTTGACAACTGGGCAGTCAGCCAATGTGGCTTTTCTGTGCATTATCTCCAGTGCCTGAATGGCCTGCCTTGTGTCAGAGAACTGGACAGAGCTGTCATCGTCAGGTTCAGCACATCAGTTCATTTGTGGGATATGACATGGCTGGCATGACCTGCACTTATTGCCCAGCCTAACAGTCTTCCACTAAGCAGAGGGATTTACTCTGTTTCGAATCATGTCCTGGGTGTATTTGATGGAAACAGTGTGGAGAGAGCTTTACTTTCACTTTAAAAGAGTAGAGGGAGCTTTACTCTGTACCTAACCTTCTGCTGCCCCTGTCAAAGAACAAACAACAGTACAGCACAGGAACAGACCTTCCTGCCCACCAAGCTTGTGCCAACACATGACGCTTTTCTAAACTGAAAACCTTTTGCCTCTTAAGCAGCCTGTATCACTCTATTCCCTGTCTATTCATGTATCTGTCAAGATGCCTCTTAAACATTGCTGTTTTATCTGCTTTTACCACCTCCTTTGGCAGTACATTCCAAGCACTTACCATCCTCTGTTTAAAGAAAACTTGTTCCTCCTTTAAAGTTACCCCCTCCCTTAGCTTAAACCTCTCCACCCCCACCCCAGTAACTGACAGTTCTACCCTAGGAAAAATACTCCGACTATCCATTCCATCCATGCCTCTCAAAATTTTGTAAACTTCTATGAGATCACCCCACATCCTTCGATCTTCAAGTGACAACAGACCAAGTTTGTCCAATCTGCCCTCATAGTTAAAACCCTCCAAACAAGGCAACATCCTGGTAAAGCTTTTCTGTACCCTCTTCAAAGCATCCACATCCTTCCTATAGTGTGGCGACCAGAACTGTATGCAGTCCTGTGAATGGTTAATGGGGCAGTGTGGAGGAAGCTTTTAATTTCAGTTTAAAGGACTAAAGGCAGCTTTACTCTGTATTTAACCCTGTCCTATCCCTGTGTTGGGACTGTCTGATGGGAATAGTGTTGAGGGAGTTTACTCTGTATCTAACCCCATGCTGTCCCTGTCCTGGTAGTGATGTCAATGAGACAAGGCAGTCACGTTGGGTATATATTTATTTGGGTGTCCTTTGCCTGGAATGTGAAATGCAGCTTACAATGCACTGAAATGCCAACTGTTATTTCTGCAGAGAAAAGGAAAATTCTCATGGTGAAAAACCTGCCTTACCCAATCAGTAAAAAATATCTAAGATCTATATTTAATGATGCCGAGGATGTCCACGTGTCGAAAGGCAGCCAGTCACAAGGGTGAGTAAAACTTGGCCCATGAGCAATAAATTGCATTCATATAGTACCTTTCACTGGTAACCCATCTCGGCATTTCAGAGGTGTGTTATTAAACAATATTTGACACTGAGCTTCGTGAAATAATGGAAGGGGGGGGTCAAAAGCTTGGTTGAAATTGTCATTTTCAAAAGGGAAGGTTTAGGGATAGAATTCTAGAGCTTAGTGCCTAGGCAGCTGAAGAGACAGTCACTGGTGGTGAAGGAGATCAGTGTTTGGGAAGGGCAGTGACTGGTGGGACACTGAGATCCCCATGTGTTGGGAAGAACTGGCAGAGGGCAACAGAGTTTGAGTGGAGGCAAAACCCCAGCGGGTTTTGAAAACAGAAGATGAAAAAGTTAAAACAGGGACAGACACAGAGGACGTTGGAGAAACTCAGCAAGGTCTAGCAGTATCTGTGGAGAGAGAGAAACTGAGTTAACGTTTCATGTCCTGTGTGACTCTTCAGAACAGTTCTGAAGATGCGGCACACTGGACTCAAAACATGAACTTTTTCTGTCTCTCTCCCTCCACAGACCTTGCTGAGTTCCTCTGTGTTTGTTTCAGATTTTCAGCATTGCAGTATTTTTGCTTCTATTCGAGAAGTTGACATCGAGGGTTTGTGACAGACTGGAAGCCATGGCAGCTAATGGATTAGCATGGACGTGGTGTGTGTGATGATGTGGGCAGCAGAGAGCTAGCTGTCTCGGGTAAATGGCCTGACATCCCATTAATTTTAAAGGAAATAGATAGTAGGGTTCTCAACAGAGCTCCGACTGATGAATTGGAAAAACTAGGGGAGGAGGTGCATAGTAGTGTCACTGAGCTTCTAATCCAGAGGCCCAGATGAATTCTCTGGGGGTACAGGTTCAATTCCTACCATGGCAATTGCGGGGGGAGTTCAATTTGATTACTAAAATTTGGAATATGAAGCTAGACTCAGTAATTACTTTTTATTCATTCATGGGATGAGGACTTCACTGGCTAGGCAGCATTAATTGCCCGTCCCTAATTGGCCAGAGGGCAATTAAGAGTCAACTCCATTGCTTTGGGCCTGGAGTCACATGTAGGCCAGACCAGGTAAGGATGGCAGTTTCCTTCCCTAAAGGACATTAGTGAACCAGGTGGGTTTTTCCAACAATCAACAATGGATTTGTGGTCATCAGTAGACTCTTAATTCCTGATATTTATTAAATTCACATTCCACCATCTGCTATGGTGGGTTTCGAACTCCGGTTCCCAGAACGTATAAGTCATACAGCATGGAAACAGACTCTTCTGCCCAACCAGTCCATGTCGACCATATTTCCAAACTAAATAATTAGTCCCATCTGCCTGTGCTTGGTCCGTATCCCTCCAAACGTTTCTTATTCATGTACTTAATCTAAATGTCTTTTAAACGTTGTAATTGTACCCGCATCTACCACTTCCTCAGGAAGTTCATTCCACACACGAACCACTCTCTGTGTAATAAAAAAAATTGCCCCTTCTTTTGCATGTTTCTCCTCTCACCTTATACGTATGCCCCCGGTCTTGAAATGCCCCACCCTAGGGAAAAGACCCTTGTTATTTACCTTATCCATACCCCTCATTATTTTATAAACCTCTATAAGGTCACCTCTCAACCTCCAATGCTCCAGTGAAAAAATTCCCAGTTTATCCAGCCTCTCCTTTATAACTCAAACCCTCCATACCCAGCAACCTCCTGGTAAATCTTTTCTGAGAACTCCTCCATCTTAATAATATCCTTCCTATAACAGGGCTTCCAGAAGAGGCCTCACCAACGTCCTGTACAACCTTCAAATAACGTCCTGACTCCTATACTCAAACTTACCTGGGTCTCTGGATTAACAGTCCAGTGATAATACCACTAGACCATCACTTCCCCCTAGTGCTGACCACAACTACTATCATCGATTGCTCTTCAGGGAAGGGAATGTGCTGTCTTTACCCGTTCTGGCCTAAAAGTGACTATCGACCCACTGCGACAGAACTGACCCTTAGCTGTCCTCTGAAACGGCCTAGCAAGCCAATCAGTTCAAAGGGCAGTTAGGGATGGGCAACAAACGCTGGCCTTGCCACGGCAATACCCGCTTCCCGTGAAAGAATGAACCGAAGAAAGTCACTTGGAGGGAAGAAATGTACAGAGTAATGAGGAAAGAGGAAGGTAAAGGAGATTGATAAACTCGCTTTCTATGAAGGGGGCCAGCATCGGCCCAGTAGGCCAAACGGCTCGCACGCTGGATGTTGAGAGAGATCTGGAAAGTTCATGTGTGAAGCGGGGAAAAGGGCGGTTTGCTATGTTTTACAATTTGTTGCTGACGTTGCAGAACTGCCTATGTGGAGTACAAGACGGTGAAACGAGCCAAAACTGCTCTGAAGGACTTCCGAAGCAGAGGTGTTCCAGGCCAGGCAGTTCGAGTCTCTTCGATAGAGGAAGGGCAAGAGAGCCCAGGATGCCAATCGGAAGGTTCTGGTATGTACCGGTGCACATGGTCCATTTCCCAAATGCAAACCTGCTGGAGATTAGTGCAGTTTGAACCACCTCGACCACGTTGAATCGCCGTGCGCTGCTTTCCAACATGGAAGCTACCACTGCTGCTAGCATTTTCTCTTCCTACCAGCTGAATTGTGACCTTCTGGCCTTAGGCTCTGGGAATGATGTGACGCAGGTGTGACTCCAGACTCACTGCATCTTGGCTGATGTTACACCGACTGGTGGATTTGAGTCATGAGGAGAGGCTGAATAGGCTGGGACTTTTCTCTCTGGAGCGTCGGAGGCTGAGGCGTGACCTCAGAAGTTTATAAAATCATGGGTGAATAGCCGAGGTCTTTTTCCCAAGGGTGGGGAGTCTAAAACTAGAGGGCATAGGTTTAAGGTGAGAGGGGTAAGATTTAAAAGAGACCTGAGGGGGACCTTTTTCACACAGAGGGTGGTGTGTGTATGGAATGAGCTGCCAGAGGAAGCGATAGAGGTGGGTACAATTACAACATTGAAAAGACATTTGGACAGGCACATGAATAGGAAAGGTTCAGAGGGATATGGGCCAGACACCGGCAAATGGGACTAGTTCAGTTTAGGATACCTGGTTGGCATGGACACGTTGGGCCGAAGGGTCTGTTTCCGTGCTGTACATCTCTATGATTCTATAACTGCTCTCTGAACCAGTCGAACAAGCTGTTTAGCTCAAGGTGGGTGTTAGGGACGGGCTACAAATGCTGGCTGTGCCCAGCAATACCCTCACATCCCATCGAAAGTATTAATTGATCAGGATTCATAGGATCTCGAGTGCAGATGTGACCAGGTGTAAAAAGTAAATCAGTGGTTGGTCAGGGAGGGATGAGCATGTATACAGGCTTCCCACTGGCATTTCACACAGGAGCACTCCAGCCCTGGACCAGTTGAAGCTCTCAAGTGGGCAGTGAAGTGTCTCTTGCCACATGTGAAAATGGCCTGCTTAACCTCAGACTCAGGGGGGAGACTCCTGATTCAGCACTCTGCAGTGCATGGAGGCCCGTCCCCTACTGAACCAACTCCCATCCTGGGTCGTCCTGACACTCCCCGACCAACGGACTCACGGGACACGATTGGCATCAGAGTTGCCCTCTGACTGGTTGCAGTGCCAGTAGTGGCCATTGCTCTCAGTGGCGCTGTTGGGCCGGAAGAGCTGCCAGGTCTCCGAATGGTTGGCAGCTCTTGGGAAGTAGGATCTCGACCTTGATGGAGATGGACACCCCATCATTGGGCCTAATGGGTGTAAAGTCTGCCTGGGAATCCCAGGAATCCCCATGGATAGGATCACTGTGTAAAATCCAGAACTCTGTAAGGTGGCAACGCTCCCCTTCCATATAATTCCCTTGCTGCTGCAGTTCACAGAGTTTGGCATTGCCCCATCTAATCGATAATAATTTTTCTTTTACGGTGTCTTCTCTGAAAATGGAGAGAAAAGGCAAATCTTTTTAATCTGGTGTTCTTGCATCTTAAGTGCAAGATGGAAATCATCAAAACCGTGTTTCTTTTTAACAGCAATACACCCATGCCTTCTCTCCTGGTATTTCCAGTGACGAGGTTGCCTCTTCGCCCCAAGTTCTGACGGAACCGAAGAACGAGAGTTTTTTCAGACTGCGCTGACCTGCTTTCTCTCCTTTCAGATTCCACCAGATCCCTGTTTATATGGGGTCTGTCAAACCAAACAACAGTCGAAACGTTAAAATCAACCTTCAAGGAGGCCGTGGATGCCAGGATACCACGGAAAATGGGAAAGAGGTGAGCGTTTGCTGACTTGGAGATAACACAGACCAATCCCCGTGATCACCATTCCATAGGGGATTTGGGGAGCTCTCCCTGTGTCTTGTCAAAGATTTATTTATCCCAGCCCGTGCAACTACCATTATCAAAAGCAAAACATGTTATCTGGTTGTTATCACCATTTGCAGGAGCTGACTGTGTACAAACTGGCAGCCAGCTTTCTTACAGCACATAGTAACTACATTTCAAAATGTGAGCCTTCGATTATGAATTGCTTTGGTGTGATCTGAAGGTGATGGGGGAGTGTGACGGCCTGGAGGTATTATCACTAGGCTGTTAATCCAGAGACCCAGGTAATGTCTTGGGGATAACAAGATGTAGAGCTGGATGAACACAGCAGGCCAAGCAGCATCAGAGGAGCAGGAAAGCTGACGTTTCGGGCTTAGACCCTCCTTCAGGGTCTTGGGGACCCAGGTTCAAATCCCACCACAGCAGATAGTAGAATTTGAATTCAGATTTTAAAGAAAAAATGTCTGGAATTAAGAGTCTTAATGATGACGGTGAATCCATTGTTGATTGTTGGAAAAGCCCGTCAGGTTCACTAACATCCTTTCAGGAAGGAAACGGCCATCCTTACCTGGTCTGGCCTACGTGTGACTCCAGACCCACTGCAACGTGGTTGATTCTTGAGCTGCCCTCTGAGCAATTAAGGATAGGCAAGAAATGCTGGCCTGGCCAAAGTCCCACGAGCAAATTAAAAAAAAAAGTTGTGAAAGGTGCTATGCAGCTCGAACCTTCCTGTAAAATAACAAATATTAAACATTCAAAAGCAGGGTAAATGCCATGTTATCAAGGAGCTTATTTCTCGTAGCTGCTTCCTTGCTGTATTGGAAATGTTCCCTACCACAGTTGTGCTGTTGAGTGGAGGAATTAACCAGGCTTCTGATCCCTGATGGCTGACCAATCAAATTATGACTTGGCTTGACGCATTTTGAGGTTGAATAGTTTACTGACGGGCTTCCTCCTCTGCTCTCAGGTGAAAGATGTCCGCCTGTTTGTTTGCGGGGGTGGGCTGGTATGCTTGCCAAGCAGTTTCAGAGCAGAAAAGAATGCAAATGGGTCACTGTATTTTCTGACTGTTACCATAACCTCGTATGTTAGATACAACCTTGTCTCGCAAGCAAGTGGGAGCAGGGTTGGATGCAGTACTGTGGGTGATTTACTTGGAAAGAAAGTTTTATTTTTAAAATTGGGCTCAGGTGAGAAGGTGTCGGGATGTGTTTCCAAAGTGTTGACACCCCCACCCCCCCCCCCCCCCCCCCCCCCCCGGCCTTTTTGTTCTGTAGGTTTGCCTTTGTGGACTTTAAGACGGCGGAGGAGGCGCGGAGAGCAAGGGCAGAGTTTCAGGACGTGGAGATAGACGGCAGGCAAATGAAGCTATACTTCACCAACTCCGCACAGTGAGGGGAAGAGGCCACATGTGACCCGGTCACCGATGGTATGCACCAGCCCAGCAGGAGAAATATGGTGGCGTAGCGGTAATGTTGCTGGGCTAGTAATCCAGAGGCCTAGGTCAGTGAGCTGGGTTCAAATCCCACCAGGGCATCTAATAGAATTTAAATTCAATTTTTTGATCAAAACGAATCCAGAATATCAAAACTGGCCCTGGAACTATTGTCGATTGTGCCCATATAGTTCACTAAAGTCCTTTATTAATGGAAACCTGCCCCTCCTTACCAGGTCTGGCCTACATGGGACTCCAGACCCGCAGAAAACAAGTTGTCTCTGAGCTGCTCTCATTGTTTTTAATACCCAGTCGCTTTTACATGCAACTGAGCGTCTTTCCCACCACCAAATCACCATGACTTCTTTCACTTTTTTACATAAACTACTAAACAATCACCGCCAACACTGAGCTATCCTCCAGTATAACCAGGGGTGGGAAACGCATGACGTCCACACACCCGTTGGAAGAATAAATTGAAAGAAAAGATGAGAAGACTTGTGTAAATGCGAATTAGAATTAGGTTTTATGGTCACGTGTACTCCAATACAGGAGAAGTGTACACAAGTACCTAAGTACAAAATCTTGTTCAACATTACAGTCCTTCTCTAAGTGCTTAGCCGTACTGGCCTCATAATTCCCATGTGGGCTCGACCTCCTCCATGCTGCACAAATCCACTCTCCACAGGAGGTAAATCGATTAAAGAAAGAAAAAATAATAGCAGTGAACGTAGAAAACAAAAGTGAAAGCAGATGGAGCTGATGAGCTCCAGGCAGGAGCCTGCACGCTGTATGGCCTGCTCTGCTCTGAATTAAAATGGATAGCCCTGGGTTGGGCATGGGCACGTCGAAACTAGGAAACATAAACTTTTAATCGTCACCCAGAAGGAAGGTAGGAATAAGCTCCTTAGCCAGGAAGTGGTGAGAATGTGGAACTGGTTACCCAGGAAGTGATTGAGGCAAGGAAGGGGTGAAGGGGTGCAGATAGGCTCCACAGGGAGATGTGTGGTGACATGACTCTTGTCCCACACAAAGTGGGGGGCTCCAGGGTCACAGACTCCAAGCTGCAGCTGCCCCGACTGAGTTATAACAGCTGCCCACTGTCGCAGGGGTTTCTCACACGGTGGGCCAAGGAGCCTGTTCCTGTGCTATTACTGTTCTACATCCCCCTGCTCAGACAGGTCTCCCTGCCCACCCCTGCTACCCTGACCAACATCCTGCCGCTCTCTCTCTGTTCTCACTGAGAGTTTACAACACATCCCAAGCGTTCAAAACTGGATCAAAGTGGATTATGAAGGGCTGGACCAGCATTGTGGCCTTTTGAGAGAATCTAGCAAACCACCCAGTCCATTTGTATTGAACACAGTTTTAAATACCATAACTCACATGCTTCTGCTCTCTCCCTGTTCTATTACAGGTGAACCCAGATCCCACAGGATCCCAGACCTTCAGGAAAAGCCAGCAAGCAAACAAAATGTTCTCCTATCAGTTTCCAAAGCCAAATGTTGCGGTTCTATCGATTTGGCCCGAGATTGTTGGCTTTTACATACAACTGTTTTGACAGCCTGAATTTTTTCTCTTCCCCCAAGACCACTTGTATTTTATATCAAGATGTAACCTGAGATTGTTCATCTGTACCTGCTGGTAATTTAGTTTGTTCCCAGTTTTTTTATTTTCCTCTTAAGATTTGCCTGTGTCCCGAATATCCCCCATTCAATTCCGGTGTTGTCCCCGTCAGCCTTTAAACTTTACCATATTGCTGTGTCTTACACTGACCGTTAGGGAGCAGCAGATGACAGCGTTGAACAAGGGGCTGGCTAGGGTTATAAGGAAAGATGAAGACAGAAATTGCTGGAAAAGCTCAGCTGGCCTGAGCCTCAGAACTTCTGAGGAAGGGTCACTGGACCCGAAATTCTGATTTCACTGCCCAGACGCTGCCAGATCTCTGAGCTTTTCTGGAAATTCCTGTTTTAGTTTCTGATTTCCAGCATCCGCAGTTCTTTCGATTTTTACTTAGTTTCTTTCAGGTCTAGCCAGACTGTGCTTTTACTCGGTCCTTGTTGATTTCAGTTTTAATCTCTGTACTGGGTGTCAGTAACTAAATAAAAAGGAACAGTGCTGATTTTAACTTTTTCTTTTGATTCTACATTCAGGGGATGCAGATATCACTGCTTAGGCTGGGATTTCTTGCCTAGAAGGCAGTTAAGAATGAACCATATTGGTGTGGGTCTGGAGTTACATGTCAGCTAGACTGGCAGATTTCATTTCCCTGAAGTGAAATAGATTGTGGCTTTTTTCTTTTGGGGAGGCAATGGCCTGGTGGTATTATCACTGGACTGTTAATCCAGAGACCCAGGTAACGTTCTGGGGGGCTTGGGTTCAAATTCCGCCACGGTAGATGGTGGTATTTGAATTCATTAAAAAAAATTCTTGAATTAAGAGTCTAACAATGACCACAAAACCATTGCTGATTGTTGGAAAAACCCATCCGGTTCATTAATGCCCTTTAAGGAAGGAAACTGCCATCCTTACCTGGTCTGGCCTACATGTGACTCTAGACCCACAGCAATATGGTTGACTCCTAACTGCCCTCTGGGGAATTAGGGTTGGGCAATAAATACTGGCCTGGCCTAGCCAGCGACACCCTCATCATGTGTATGAATAAAAAAAAATCATCAACAGTAGTTACCTGGACGCTGTAAGGCAAGCTTTCTTTTATTTTAGTTTTCTTTTATGTACTGAATTCGAGTTTCAAAAATGATTATCATCACTGGCTGTAATTTGGCTGTTGATAATCTATTGGATTTCCCGTGGGCTGGAGAGAATGTCAGAGAATTGAGATGCTTTCGAACTTCTCTTCTGCCTACAGCAGTTGCGTGTATGTAGTCCACATTAACTGACTGGCAAACGTATTCTGATGTACCCTGAACTAGGGACATAGGTGCTGCCCCTCTGCACCAGTGAGGAACGGGGCTTCTACTATTCCTGATTGTGCTGCCCTGAGAAGGGGGCTTGTTGCATTTTAAGTTTCTCACCCCTCTTCCCTACAATCCCAATAGAGTCAAGATTAAAGTTGACTGTCATATGATCTGGGCTCAAAAATGGACAATAACCATGTGCCAACACACCCAAGGGACCTATGCACAGTAAGGGAGTCAGTGCTTTCTGTTCAGAAGGCCGATCGAGTGATAATGCATCTTTCAAATTTAAAAAAAAGGATTCTCGGAATGGTCAGCGGGTCTGGCTGCATCTGTGAAAGGTCACTGGCTTAAAATGTTAACACACTTTATCAGCAGACAGTGCCTGCTGTGCTGAGCAATTGCTTCTGTTTTTGTTTTGAATTTCCCGTGCCTGCTGTATTTGGTTTCAGTCTTGTTCCTGGTTTGAAAGTATAAGTTGAGGTGGGTGTTTGCACAATAATTTATTGTATGTCGCAACTCTTGTTTTTATTTGAAATGAACATAGCTGTCAAGAATCTATTACCTTCCAGTAGGTGTGCTTTCAATTTATGCACCTAATTAGCCATTAGACCCACTGACATGTTTTAATTTTCATTTTCTTTTCAACCACAATGTTTTAGCATGGAAAGAACTCAGAATTAGAGTTTTCGAGAAGATTTGTAGCTCGGGTTGTGGGTGAGGTTGTAGACTTGCTTACCGAGCTGGTGGGTGATGGTTGCAAATGTTTCGTTTCCCTGCTAGGTAACATGGTCAGTGCACCTCCGGTGAAACGTTGGTGTTCTGTTCGGCTTGTTATTTATATACCTCGGTTTGCTGGGGTATTACTCCTGGTTTCTCAGTGGTTTGTACACGGGTTGTAATTCAATGTGTTTGTTGATGGAGTTCCGGTTGGAATACCAGGCCTCCAGGAATTCCCTGGCGTGTCTCTGTGTTGATTGTGTGATTATGGATGTGTTGTCCCAGTCAAATTTGTGTCCCTCATTGTCCGTGTGTAGTGAGACAAGTGAGAATTGGTCGTGTCTCTTGATGGCTAGTTGTCGTTCGTGTATCTGTATGGTCAGTTTTCTTCCGGTTTGGCTTATGTAGTCTTTCTCACAGTCCTTGCGTGGTATTTTATATGTTGCACTGGTTTTTGTTGAGGTTGCAGACATGCTAGCCGAGCCGGTGGGTTTGTCACCCTGCTGGGTAGCATCGTCAGTGCGCCTCCGGTGAAGCATCGGTGTTCTGTCCTGTTTGTTATGAACATTAAGGATCCCATACTCAAAACCAGCAAAACCGGTGTAATATACAAAATACCACGCAAGGACTGTGAGAAACACTACAAAGGCCAAACTGGAAGAAAACTGACTATACAGATACATGAACGCCAACTAGCCACCAAGAGACACAACCAATTCTCACTCCTCTCACTATACACCGACAATGAGGGACACAAATTCGACTGGGACAACACATCCATAATCGCACAATCCAATAGAGACACGCCAGGGAGTTCCTGGAGGCCTGGCATTCCAACCGGAACTCCACCAACAAACACATTGAATTAGACCCTGTGTACAAACCACTGAGAAACAGAACTGGAAGTAATACCCCAGCAAACCGAGGCATATAAATAACAAACATCACATAAATAATAACATCAGTAAATAACAAGCAGTACAGGACACTGACGCTTCACTGTAGGCGAGCTGACGATGTTACCTAGCAGGGGGAACAAAACGTTGGCAACCAAACCCAATGGCTTGGCGAACATGTCTACAACCTCAATGTTAGAATTAGATTCATTGAACCTAGGCAAAGAGCTTTTTTATCGGGAAAAGTTTGAATGTGTTTCTGTTTATCTGCTTTGATGAACCTTACTGAAAAACCACCATTCCTGCTTAAATCTGTAGACCAAAGAGTGCCTTGGCTGACTGTGTGATTAAAAAGAATTAGAATTGGGTTTTATTGGCCCATGTACTCAATTACAGGAGGCCAGAAACAGGCCAGTCGGACCAACTAAGAGAATAAGGGGAGATGGCAACATGATGGTAACGTCACTAGATTAGTTACTCGGGAGGGTGGGGGGGCATGCGTTTGAATCTCGCCCACAGCAGCTAGTAGGATTTGATTCCAATTTATCAATACACCTGGAGTTGAAAGCTGGGCTCGGTGACGTTGATCACAAAGAACATTATTGATTGCCCTAAAAACATCATCTGGTTCACCAACGTCCTTTACGGGAAGGAAATCTGCTGTCTTTACCCGGTCTGACCTACATGTGACTCCAGACCCACAGCCAATGTACACTGCCTGCTGAAATGGCCGAGCAAGCCACTCAGTTCAAGGGGCAGTTACGGACGGGCAGCCAATGCTGGCCATGCCCAGTGAGGTCCATATCCCATGAGGTAGATGCAGGTACAGTTACAACATTTAAAAGACATTTGGACAGATAGACGAATAGGAAAGGTTTAGAGGGATATGGGCTAAACGCAGGCAAATGGGACTAGATTAGTTTGGGAAACTTGGAAGGCATGGACGAGCTGGAGCGATGGATCTGTTTCCGTGATATAAGACTGTTAGATGGCATTACAAAAGGAAGAGTATGGAGTTGGATATAGAAAATCAGCCACTAACTGAGTGGGTGGTGAAGAAGGCACAAGGGCAGAGCGTCCTACTCCTGTCCCTGTTTCATCTTGTGTAACAAGTTACTGTCAACGTGAATCTCATCCTACCCGTTCTCCGTCTCTCACTATCAACCTACCCTCTTATTCCTTTCTCCCTCCGGTTTACCATGTGAATTCATCGATGGTGTTTTCTACAATTGGCCTTAAAGGTGGTAGTGTCGAGTGTTGCATATTTTCCCGGTCCGAAGTCTCCCAGTTTCCCATGTGCTGAGTTCAACCCGTTGGGGGAGGTGGGGAGCTAACAATGGGACCATCTTGGATGAAATGATTTTGTCCAGAGAAATATATACATCTATATAGGAAGTGGTAAAAGCAGGTGGAACACTTAAAATCATAGGAAGAGAAGGGGGCCTTTCAGCTTCTTGAGTCTATTCTGCCATTCTGAACCACAACCAATCATCTACCTCAACACCATTTGCCCACACAGTTCCTTTATCCCTTGATGCCAGCTTGAGTAGGAAGCTTGGCCTCTTGAGTATGCTTTCCCCCCATCACCCAATTCAGTAAGATTCTCCACCTGATCCATTATTTAGTTTTATATTTATTCAAGAAATTGGGGGCTAAATAGTGAAATTGCACTCGGACATTCTCGCACCACAGTGAGATGGTTGGAGCTGGTAGATTTTGTCTGTCCCCATTGCCAGGATTTAGTTTCCTTAAGATACTGAGCTTAGACAAGTAGAATTAGACCTCAGATAACACAATGTGGAGCTGGAGGATCACAGCAGGCCAGGCAGCATCAGAGGAGCAGGAAAGCT